TGTTTCATTTCGGGGTGTTCTGGACTGGAGACACCTGCACACACATGGAATCATGATAACCGAGTCTGATAGGGTATACTAAAGTGACCGTCAGATTTTCACATCATCAATAACAGCTAGGGCTATGCAGAAGCCGAGAAACGATGTGTAGGCACATGATAGGAGCAGTCTTACCTAAGAGTGCCGCCGATACTTCCTGCGATTGATGTCGAATACGAGCTAAAACATGTATGCCATGGAAAGATAAATACGGAGAGGTGCGCAAGATAACATCGAGGGATAGAATCAGAGAGAAAACAGCTGGTTGTAGCCGTGTAGCAGAGCCATAGGAACGATATATTTGCGCATGAGTAAGGTACATTCAGAGGGCGATATAAGGCTAGAAACAGGTGGGCTGAAGGGACTATTCCTATTCACGTGATAGTTGGCATAGATTACCGCTCTGGATTGAATCAGAAATATAAACGAGGTAGTATACGTGTATGAAGAGAGAAATAGTGAACTGGAGGTTCGCAGAGTATTCACAGCAGTTATTAGGAATAATGATATAAACAGTTCGTATAAGGGTATAAGAGAAATATTAACGGCGCAGTTTCTCCTAAGATTACCTCGTCTTGATTATTCATAAATTCTATAACCTATTATTATAATTTTATAAGATAAAGATTAATCTAGTAGGTGCTCAATTTCCATCTCTTTCGTTAGTCAATAATTATATACCTATTTTTTATAATTTATAAAGAAAGATGACTTATATGTTGCATAGAGTACATCTCTTTAGTATTAAAATTATAGAAACGATGTATTATACATTGATAATCTAAATATTAAACTGATATTTGTCCTATAGTAACACTATTTATAGGACTAAGTATATAAACTAGTTATTATTAAGTTTTATGATATGAAATATTACCTTAGAGTTTGCATGAGAACCTCTAGTGATGAGAAGAAGGGAGAGAGAGAGTTTCCTTTACGTGAGGCCACTCCAGGAAGTATGAGAGCATTAGTTCTCTTTGGTGGTGAGGCAGGGAAGGATGAGCGGCCATTTGTGTGAACCTACATGGAGTAGAGCCACACAACAACAATTGATATATTATTGGGGACAATCTGTATTGGTATGATATAGGGTGTGATAGTAGAACGTGTAGATGGACTGGTTTCTGACCAGAAGTGAATCGAATCAGCGTCAACTTGGCTGCAGATATCGTCACCAAACCTCCACTGTTTAATCAGAGAGAGAGGAGAAGAAGGAGGAGGAGGGGGGGGGCATTATCAATATGTACAGTGTGTGTGTAATACACGTGAGTCAAACCTTGAGGCATAGCACAAGATGGAAGCACAGTAGCTCCTGACATGGCTGGTAGTGTAGCATAACACCCTTGAAGATCTGACAAACATAACACAATATATAGCAGGTAAATTGAATATGGGTGAAGAAGTTTTGTTGTACTATTAATGCCTCCTCCCCTAAAACACAATCTGCTCCCACAGAAGAAATCCCACCATTGGGCTAAGGGAGGTGAATTCTATTGTTGATAGGACCTGTAAAAGAAGTAAACAGATAGCCTCATAGTTTTGTTTTTCAGTTTCAAAATCAGCTCACGTTGTGTAGCGTGAGGGCGAGACAGGGCGGAGTCAGCAGCTGGTAGTGTGTCAGGATGAAGGAGACGGCTCGTCTGAGCTCCGGACTCTCGGAACCCTCTCTCTCCAGAACTGAAGATGGCTAGAGGGAGAGGTCAGAGGTCAGAGGTCAGAAGAAAAGACGTAAAACTATTTTTTTAAAATTTAAGGAAAACTTAATGCGAGTGTGGTAGGATATCGAGTACGATGCTGTAAATCAAATTTTTCATGAAAAAATTGTGTTTGCTACCAATTGGTACCCTACCTGAGAACAAAATTATTTTCTTGGCTAGGACATGTATTCTAGCAGTTAAGCTACCTTTGAAAGAAGAAGGTCTGCATTTTCCCTGAAGTCAGCCGGTAGACTTGACTCCTGATTAAAGAGAAGATTGTGAAGAGAGTGGTGCAAGTGGGAAATGATGTCTCCCACCCTCAGCGATTCTCCCTGGGAGAGGAGCTCAGAGAGGGCGGGGTCAGGGGTGTGGCCTAGCTCCACCGCCAACACACACTTCTTCACAGTATAGTCAAGGACCGTAGACAGCAACAGCTAAAAAATATAGAGACAGGGTCCATTTTTGATGCTGGGAGTTATATTTTTCACCAGGTAGTGTTGGAAGATGTGGGAATTTTCTGCCTGACTCAGAGCGTAGAAATGGCCGAGCTTGGAGCTCAGTATACCCTAAGAATACAGAGCAAGGTATAGGATACTCCGAGAATACAGAGCAAGATCTAGGATACTCCGAGAATACAAGATCTAGGATAACTGAGTGGTTCACACGGACCGGGAAAGCAAGCTCAATCTCCCGTAGACAGTCACAGGCAGTGGCTCTCACAAGATGATGGTAACCTTCAGTCTCTACCTGCAGGAATAACCAGTTCATAACAGGTTTGACTAGCTGCCACTGAACACTTTGACGTAGGTATATACCTTCTCCACCACTTCAGATAGTATTTGAACAAGTTCACTGAGCAAATAGTCTCCTTCCTGGGATCATGTCAGAGATCAGATATTAATCATTGTGTGCCTCTTACTTACAACAACGGCCTCCATTTCTATCAGTATGCTTGTCATAGTGCAGAGAATCTGTGAATCACATGTGAATCACATGACAGTCACGTGATGTAATAACCAGCAGGGTTAGTTGTATACCTGGCTCAACACAAGGGAGCTTGCTGACGTTCTCGACTGGTAGAAAATAGTTTTGAGTGACGTCACGGTGGACTCCAATCTTATTGCATCGTTCAATAGCTTTGGTGCCTGCGTGGAAGGTTTGTAAAGTAAAGGTGTTTGTTGCTTTGGTATGCAGCTGGAAATCTACTCACGGCCTCCTGAAAGGCGCCCAGAGCTGCTAGTTTGGCGCTTTCATTTTTGTCAGAAGGCGACATCAATAGCTGGATGGTTTATTTCAGAGCAGAGGAGACTGATAAGCGCCCATTGTTTTACCTGTATAAGCTCCTCCACTAGGTCCTGAGTGGATATTCCACGAGAAGAGAGGTAAGCAGCCGGACTATGGCGAATATCCAGCAGCAAACGTTCCATGGCAGTAGCTGGTAGCGAGAGTGCTGATTCAGCATGTGGGCGTGGCTCAAATACACGCGGTTAGACCGACTCCGTAAACTCTTTAGATTACGGGGGGGAGGTCAAGCTTCTTGCTAGCTCTGAGCTTGTTAGCGTGTCTGTTGGTGAGTCTCCGGGTGTCCTTCGACGTCAGCTCCATGCAGATCAAGGACGTAGAGAAGCTAAAGGCATGGCTGCTGACAAAGCTGGAACCGCTGTAAGTGTGCGCCTCAAAAAACCTTCAAACCCATAACCATACTATTCCTCGCGTGTATAAGCGTCAACCCCGTTCACTGTTAGGGAGAAAAGCTCTTATATACGGCAGTTATCTTGCTCATGGCACTAACTCAGCGAAAATTGCTTGTTGCACGCGCGGTGCGCTATAATTAGAACTACCTTCACAGGTGTGATGCAGACCCGGCAGCGCTGGCCAAATACGTGGTGGCTCTACTGCGCAAAGACAAACCCAAATCAGCCCTCAGGGAGCTCTGTGTGGACCAGCTGGAAGTTTTCCTCGCCAAAGGTACAAATACAAAAGTCTCCTATCACAATGACAATCGTATTATGTTAATTTTTGCAGAGACTACGTTATTTGTGGACAGGTTGTTCAAAGCTCTGGAGTCAGAGTCCTACCTCACCGGACGGGGCTCTAGGACACCTTCTCCGGAAGCCACACCCCCTAGTTCCGACTCGCAAGTTGTCAAACCTCCACTCTCCAAACCAGGGCCTCCTGCTGCGGTGGCTAACAAGTCACAAACAGCTGTGCCTCGTTCCGGAGTGGCCCGTGACGGATCCCAGAGCTCATCGTCTCTCTCAGGGTCTGAGCGAGGCGGAGGTGGAGGAGGGGAGCGGGGGAGGGTGGGGGGAGGTGGCCAAAGACACACTGAAGACCTTCGGAGCCTAGAGGTATGTACATATATCACCGAATTTCGTAGCAATTTTTTGCGTCTGCATTTTTCAACCAAAACTTAGTGATAGAGACTACGTATAGAGGGAAACATTTGTGGGAGAGAACTTGATGGATGGTTGAATGTAACACAGGTTGATGATGAAGACAGGGACTTCCGCCGATCTCGGGCCAGGGGAGGGAGACAAGGGGAGCGCCTAGCAGCGAGGGGGGTTAGGGGCGGAGTCACCATCAGCAGGGAGCCCGATTCCAGCACTGGAGGTGGGCGGAGGGGAGGGGCGGAGCCAGCCGGCATCGCCAACAAAGGTCACGGTGGTACTAGCAGCAATGTGTCCACTAGTGGAGATATGCGGGGCAAGCGGAGAAGGGGGGAAGGGGAGGGACCTGTTGGGGGCGGGGTCAGCTCCACCGGGGTGAGTCGGCTGGGGGAAGTGGGCATGGCTCGGAGGATCGCGAGGGAGAGAGGGAGACCTTTCGGTGACGGGAGACCAGCTAGACGAACGTGGCCGCACAGGAGTCGCAGCCGAAGCAGGAGCCGCAGCTCCAGTAGTGACTCATCCTCCAGCACTGCGAGCAGTCACGATCACAGTCGGAAGAGGTCTCGTCAGGAGTGGAACGAGAGGGGTTCCTCGTTTCGCGGGGGTCTGGGGGCCAGTTCTGAGGGAACCAAACCGCAGGAAGAGGGCGAGGACAAGAAGACTGTGGAGGGGAACGAGGGGAAGAGAAAGAGATGCAAAGATTACGATGGTTGGTCTTTCTTTTCGAAGAAAACACACAATTATCCCCTTTCTTTCAGAGAAAGGGTTCTGTATGTTGGGAGATCAGTGCCCGTTTGATCACGGGGTGGACCCTGTCGTCATTGGCAACAACATCCCCCACACGTACCCTCCTCCTCCGTCCATGGTTGGCATTCCTTCTCTAGCTCTCACCAAACCAGGTACGTACAGTCACCCAAACTCTTTATCATGTCCTTTACAACTGTATAGCAGGAAATAAATGAGGGGAACTATTGCTTGCCAAAATCTTATCTCTTACAAAAAATTGTTAAGTACATGTATGAACTGTAGTGTGAATATATATATATACTCTAAGACGACTAGAGATACTTTGTTCTGTGCAGATATATCCAACTTTCTGGTTCCGCCAGCTGGCCACCCCGGCAGAGCCTCTCCTACAGGTATATACTGTGTATCACAGATGTACATACATACAGCAATTGGTCGTAGCAAGTAGACCTAGACTTTAACCTGTGGACCTCAAATTTTAAGACAACTTGCTAGAAAAACGGGAATCGATGAAGTATATGTAGTGAAGATGTGCAGTCATAGAGCCTTACTCTGATTATGTGTGCTGCCGTTTCGGTTTTTTTAGAGAGTACAACGGATGGGTACAACCCGGAGGATCCGGGGCTCACTGCTACCACAACCTCCCCGACCTCCTTCCTCTCTGGACCCTTGATGAACCCTGGACCCCTCCTCCCTCGCCCCTTCCCCCACCCTCCTCCACACTTGCAGGGTATATACCCTTACTCTTTGTTTGTATGCAAGACCCTATACTACACCAAAGGCAGTATACTCATTTCATTTAGCTCTGGCGCTTGGCAGTGGAAATAATTCGCGAGTGCTTGGGAATTACTGTGGCTAGGAATGTTTCGCTTATACTCATTACTGTGACACTTTTTGTGGACATTTTTGGAAACATATTTATGTACCGATGAAGCAGAGGTTTTCATTCTCATTCTCTCTTCAGGTGTTCCAACGCTCCCTCCTCTCCATCCTGTTGGAGCCTTCCCTCCACCTCCCCTCCCTCCACCCATCACCAGTGCCTCTCACCAATTCCACCCTCCCCCTCCTCTCCACCCTCACTGGCCCCGCCCACACCACCAGTCGTTCTCGATGCCACGGCAACCGTCAGACACGCTGATCGTGAGGAAGATCCCGCGAGAATCGAACTCAATTACAAAACTGAGCAGCCACTTCGAGAAGTTTGGAACCATTGTCAACCTTACTGTGAGTTTAGTTGAGTCTTCTTTCTTTTGTAGGAAAACTTGCGAAAAGTACCCTCCAAATAAGGACACTTCTCTATAATTCTGCCCCATACTACATTTTGCCTCTAGATGCATCTGAATGAATGTTACCTAAAGAATAAAGGTCTCCAAGGTGTCCCAATTTTCAACTCTAGAAATTCTGTCGTCTCCCTCCTCCTCTCTTCGTATTTCTCTCTCTCTGTCCACAGGTGTGGTACGGAGGAGACCCGGAAGGAGCTCTCGTTCAGTTTTCCACTCCGTTTGAGGCTAGGAGGGCCCACGACAGTGCCGAGGCAGTTCTCAACAACAGGTTCATCAAGATTTACTACCTCCGCAAGGACTCTTCTTCCTATCCCATACCTTACTCCAGAGAACAACATAATGAGGTTTGTTACATAAGAATGACTTGTTTGCGTTCATCAGAATGTAATACGTGTATGCACTATACAGGGTTCTGCCTACGATGGTCGGTGGTGGTCGCATGCGACCACCACCGAAAGTATCCCGACCACTCCTAAGTAAAGTCATAATGGCCACCACTAAAATAATCCTGGGCAGAACCCTGCACTATACATGGGATATTATAATCTGCCTACAGAATGTCCACAAACATTGCTATCATCTGCTGCAGATTTCTGGTGGGGTGGGAGTGCGCTCAATTCCACAGCCAACAGCCCCGCAGGCCCCAGAAGACCACACCCCCTCGTTCACTCACCTGAGCTCCACAAAGACAGCTCCCACTCCCTCTGTTCCTCGCAGCCACACCCAGAGCCACACCCCTTTCTCCGCCCACTACACCCTTCCCCAAAACAAGGCGACGTCGGCACACATGTACGTCAGCTCTACCACCAAGACCCCGGCCAGTAGCCACCTGGTGGCACCTCATCAGATGGCTGGTGGTGGGAGCCAACGAAAGAGAAACATTCCGGAAACTCCCGAGAGCAAGGAGATGGCAAGAAGAGGCAGGAACTGCAGAGAAGGACCGGAGAGCTGCTCCAGAAACAACTAGGCCAACAAAAGGTGAGAGAGAGCCTTATGAAGTGGAGTGAAGGGGAAAACGCAACGTTTTGCTCTTTTGATTTTCGCAGGTGCTCATTTCGAAACTTGAAAAGGGAGGCAAACAGATGTCGGCAGAAGAGAGAAAGAAAATAATTAAGGTAAAGGCAAACCCTTAAAACCCTCTGATTATTCATTTATTCCCCCCAGACAATAAAGACACTGTCAGGAAACATTGAAAACCTGAAGAAGATGGCGTCAGAGGCTATGGAGGCTCTGCTGAAATCCAAGCAAGCTCCCCCCTCCCCCACCTCCCCCACACCCCCCTCTCCCTCCCTCACCGAGAAGGCACAGGCTCTGCGACAAGAGGCACACCAACTGGGCCTCATCCCCTCCCCTACGCCGTCTCCAGGAAGTCATGTGACAGGAAATCCTCACGGTAACGACCTCCGCTCAGTGCTGAACAAGAAGCAGAAAAGGCTGCTGGTTTTGAATGCTGGCAACAGAGAGCAACTTACGGCACATTTTGATGTCAGTTTACAAAAAAAATTTACGTATCTACCAAAAATTTTAGCGACTGCATGCGTCACTTAATGTGATGCGGATGGCTGACGAATTTAGATTTCACCAGGCAAAAGGCCCTATTGACGCAAAGCTTATAAATTTAATGTGAACCAAGAGTTTTGATACTATGATACATCTGTAATCCATTATGCTACGTAGTCACTGGGGTATTGTGTGTATACAGACATTTGGAGGTCTGGTGAGTGTTGAGGTGGATCCTGAGAACAACAAGAATCTCATCTTCAGTTTCAGAAATCCTCATCTTGCACAGAAGGTCAGTTTCACGGGAGATGTTTCTCTTGCCACACCTGCCAGTTTCAGCCACTCAACTTACACACACACCATAATGTATAGCGTAAAATAGAAAGTGCTTTGGGATGCTTGCAATTTGCCAGATTTTTTTGCAGTTCATGCGTGCACAAGAACGCGAGTAAAAGAAGTCCCATCCTTGACCAGAGTTTACACTGAGCTCACTAAATAGTGTTTGTATTGGAGATAATATGGATCTTTGTCTTTGTTCCCAGGCTGCCAAGCATAGCTCCTCATTCAACGGGAAGCCCCTCATTATGAAGTGGTACACGCCCAAGGCTCCCACCCCCTCCCCTTACTCCCACTGTCCTCCACACGTCACACCTCTCCCCTCCAATCCTCCCCACTCTCCCTCCCTCTCTGCTCCTCCTCCAATGTTGATACATCTCACCCAACCTCTGACACACCAGAGGTATATATACCTATATACGTAACATACTGAATCTAAAACACTCCTTATCGTAGGAATAGTTGTATAATGTGTGTCAGGGGAATTGACATTGTTTTTCCACTTTAGCAGCATTTGTATTCAACTTGGGACTCAATAGTTTCAACTAGGAGAGCTATAATTGTTGTAGTTCTATGGTGCTATTGCGGTATACATTGTCTATAAGCTGGAAGAGAAACATACCACACTTGATGTACCGTATCACCATAAACTTATGAGGAAGAAAACTTCCACGAATTTAAGCTACCAAAAACTCATAATTACCTGCTAAAATGGGGTGTTTTTGGACGTAAAAATTTCCCAATGATGCGTGTTATCATGTGCAGGTGACCATGCCCACAATAGCCACACCCACCTTAACGAAGCTAGACCCCGAGGCCCTCCACCTTGTTGAAGATGACGAAGAGGAGGAGAGCGAGGAACGGAGCTGGCGACGGTAGGATTACATCACCGCGACATCATTATTACTCTATTTTGGTGACACTGATGAACTGTCATAATACATGTGTATATTAATCACTGCCGATTTCGGCACTCTGTGTAAAAGCTGGAGTGTGGTCTTTGTACAGTAAACTCCTATTCTCTATCAGCACTGTCTTCATTATTATTGCTGCCTTATGAAAAGTGTTGTCCAATCTGCGTAATTTATTCTTTTGTATAATATTATGGCTAAAAATGTGCATACTTGCATTTCAAACAGCAATTAAATTTAAAAGTCCACACAATTCAACTCTTTGTACATGTGGTAAAAGTCCAATGTGTATATATAGCTGCAGTTGAGCTCTGCACCGTAATAAGGTTTAACTTTTTGCATCTTGAACGCAGCCCTTTCCTAAATATGTGTAGGCGTATGTGTTTGCTTATGGATGTGTTGGGTGTATTTTCTTGTGATGTTCTTAGAGTTCAGTCGTTGATGCTGCCGTAAGTATTGCACGAGTTGTCGAGCAATTCCTCCTTTTCCTCCAATCTGCTGGTTCTGAGCGAACGTTCAATCATCCTGTTTTTGATCCCCACGCCTAATCCACGCAGCTCCTTATTTCTGTAGGCCCAGAGTGCCAAGACGACAATCACATACAGAAGGGGAAGCATGGAAAAGAGGGCAACCAGGAACATTGAGAAAGACTTGAAACGCTCGCCCTTGATATCGGCAAAGATATGGCAAAGTACCGAGGACGCAGACAGTGCTTGCATCAGTATCATGATCGCGTCGACTTTGTTGTAAATTGCGTAGCGTTCTTTGTAGGGCCGAATTGTTATGATGAGAATTGCCATTGTTATGAAGAGAATGGTGGCAAAGGTGTAGAAAAGGCTTGTGAGGGTGATGCTGAAGAGAACAAACAGTAGGATTCGCAGGACGAGGTACACTGCGCTGAAATAGCGACAGTCTCGCGTGTTGTTGGTGCCGTCTTTGTAGCAGCCTTGAAACGACTCTACGAAGCTGCGGATGAGCTCGCGGTTCAGGTGCAGGCGAGTGAGCAGTCGTTGGAACCACATCATGGGGTAGAAAAACATTAGAAATACAGGCATCGCAACAAACGTGACGAAAACCAGGAGCGAAAGAAGTCCGTAGAAGACGTGCCCTTTGCCAAAATACCGAAGTGAGGGGTCGCTGTAAACATACTGACCGAGGTTGCGTCCGTGCGGGTTGTGAATGTTGGTGTACATGAGTGAGTGGAAGGAGATGCTGAGGAGCTTGCTGTAGGAGAGGAGAAGAAACGTGGCAAACGAGTGTATGAGCGTTGTCTTGAAGTTTAATACTCGAGTGACGCTGTTCATGGTTGATCGCATGGGAATCCATGGACACCTAATCCCCCGAATCTGGAAAATGTGAAGCCTCACCACTTGGTATATCACTAACAGAAGCAGGAGTGGGTAGAAGGCAATCAGGTATTCCAGAAGCACGAGTTGCATGGGTGTTACATGCAGGCAGAGCGGGGGATAAAAGCTTCGGAAGAAGTCCAAGTTCCACACGCTGTACAGTGATATGAACAGTTTGGTTATCACACCAAAGAAACCGTGCTTCTCAGTTGCTCTGATTATCACCTGCACACTGGAGGGTATGGTGATATTTTGGCAGAATAGAACATAGGAAGACAGCTGAGCCGACGTGGCACTGATCCTAAACAGCAGTATAACAAAGAGGAAGACGGTGAGAGGACCGAAGGCCTCGGCTACAAACTTCACCCAGTTGATCCATTTGTTGCTGCATTTCACGCACTTGGTGCTGTATGAATAGGCAGGAGGGTAGTAGCCTTTTGCACACTTTCCACATAGTCTCCCGTCGCGATTCAGGTAGCCACAGACTGCGCTGGACAAGCTTGCCGGCCTGATGTGGAAGGTGGCATTGTTGATGGGGTGATACACGCGGTTGATGCGGTCACGATTCGATGTGGAGCCATTCTCACAATTGTGGAAGCAGTGGCCTACCACCGTAGTGTTATGGACATCGTCCCAGGTCATGCAGGAGCAGTCTAACACACCGATTTTGGTAGAGCTGGGGTGGCTCTTGTTCAGGGAGCAGTATACACTGTCATGTATTGTATTTCCACAGGCACAGGTGTTGTTCTTGTCAAGCTTGGCCCAGGGAAATCCGCATTTGAACCCTTCATACCTAGCCTCAGGATCCTGGGGATAAGAGTAGCCGGCAGTGTCTGAGAACGATCCACTAACAGTCTCACGATCAGCAACAGAGCTTGTGTAACTACATATAATTAGCAGGAGCCCACCACACACGAGATGGGCATGCATCTCAGCTCTTCACGATCTGAAGTTGTTTGGCTGGTACGGTCGCAAGTCTTACAGCACTGCTTTGCCCCTCCCGAGGTGTATTGAAAGCTAACAATGCTCGGATGTTTCCACATACGCCCAGATTGAAAATGTACTGTTTACACATGTGAAGAATAACACAAACAGCCATATAAGACTGAGATGTACAAGCATCTATCTATCCCTCCCACTCCGACTCTCCATTAGGCAAAGTGTGCTGGTAATGGTAGGCTACCAAACCAACATCTTTCATGTGCAAACACCTGTGAAAGAAGCAGTGAAAGCTTATGCATCATGTAGTAAGATAAATACCCTGTAGCAAAATAGCTACTGTTAGTTTCAGGAGAGCCAAAGCTGAGAGTCACTATTAGTGAAAACCAATGTAAGGCATCTGTCAACACAAAGCCAGCTTTTCGGCCAAGTCTCTAGCAAATCAACAGAAGATGTGTTGGACTTTCTTTGCTGTTCTCTTGACTTCTGCTGTCGTGTGTGAGTCCAGCTCTGGTGAAGACAGACCTCCACTGAAGCTAAGTGGCCACCCTACAGTTGTGGGTGGAGCTTGCACTGACGCGTGGTTCATACCGAGTGGGCCCAATGGAAGCTGTGAGTGTGGACACACTTTTCGTGATGTGGTCTCCTGCAACGAGGAAACGAGAGAGGTCGGAGTGTTAGACTGCTTCTGTATGACGTTTGACTCGGTCTACAATACAACAGTGCTCGGAGAATGCCTCTATAACTGTGTCAATGTCAGCAAATCGTACCACGACTTCTTCTATCACCCAGTGCCCAGCAATCTGGGGAGCAGTGACGACAACAATAGCGTCTGTGGGTACTTGCATCGGACAGGAAGGCTGTGTGGGGAGTGCGAACATAACTACTACATAGCTGCCTACTCCTACTCATTTGAATGTGTGGATTGCAAGGACTCAGAGTGGCTCGAATACATAGGAATGGCTTATGGTCCTCTGACTCTCTTCATTATTTTCATTCTCGTTTTTCGAGTGAGCGTTGTCTCACCAAAACTCTACGGAGTCATTTCCATACTACAGACCATAGCATCTCCACTGAATATCCGTGTCATGCAGCAAGCCGCCAAACACGACAGAGTGGTCTACAAAATAGTGAGAGTCTTTCTGGCGATGCTGAGTATTTGGAACTTGGATTTCTTCCGTAATTCATCGCATATTTGTCTGCGCCTCACCTCCTTGCAGGTCATGACTCTAGACTATCTGATTGCTGTCTATCCAATGATAGTAACGGTTGCTGCTTTCATATTACTGGAGCTGCACAATCGCGGCTTTGGCCCTGTTCTCTTCATCTGCAGACCGTTTCACCGTTCCTTTGCCAATTTCAGACAGAGCTGGAATCTGCACACCTCACTCATCGACGCTTTCATCACATTCTTTATTCTCTCTACCACAAAACTACTCCACGTTTCAATCAGTGTACTGTTGAGCGTCCCCGTATATGATGCAATGGGAAATTGTCTGGACCGCTACTGGTTTGTGGATGCTTCTATTCCCTATTTCGGACGAGACCACCTACCATATGCAATACTGGCCCTTTCTGTCATGACTCTGCTCATAATCCTGCCTATAGCTCTTCTAGTGGGCTACCAGTTTGCATGCTGTCGAGTGTGCCTCGCCAAATGCAGGCTCAAGGGCCATGTCTTGGAAAAGTTTATGCACACATTCAATCAGTACTACAAAGATGGAAGTGGAGGAACCAGGGACTGTCGGTGGTTTGCAGCCTTCCACATAATGTCGAGACTGGGAATCTACTTCCTTCTGTTCTTCCCTCTCAGCGACATATTCTATAACTTGGCTCTGATGTATGTGCTGGCATGCACGGTAGCAATCGTCCTCATTGAACCCTACAAGGAAGAGTACAAGTACCACAACTACATAGAGGCCTGCATATACCTCTGTCTGGCTTTGATACAGGCCGGAATCACTGGCGTCAATATGAGTAACTTGGAGATGAGAGCATTCACCAGGCCAATGTTTATGTTCACAGCCCTAGTGGCTATGATTCCAATGCTCTACCTTGCTCTCGTGACCATTTGGTGGCTATTCAAGAGAAATCCGTGTGGCTATCGACTTATAAAACCTCAGACCCCAGATTTGCCAGACAGACTTCTGAATTCGGGCAACTACCACAACTCATATGAGAGCAGCAACACTAGTTACCATAGTTCTAGAGAGAACAGAGTTATTAGCCTTAGTGGCACACAATGACCCAGCTATTGTCTTTTTGCACAGTATATTTCACACGCAATAAGTGAAAACGTTGACAGTGAAAGCGTTCACAGAACTACAAACATCCATGTTGAAAATGTGACACAAACAGTAGTGTACAATGTTGTGAATTTGAAATCAATAATTGTCGGCACTGTTGCTGAACGGCAGTGTGCCATAGGGAGAGTGGTAGCTAACAGCTAACTCTAACAGTCATGTTGCAAACATTTCCAGCTTCAATATTTATAGTAGTGCTGATTGTGACACCGGTCTCGAGATCTGCCCCACCAGATACTGCCCCTCTGAGCCAGAGTTTCAAGGAATCGCCGCTGCGTACCAGACAGTACTGGGGACCGGCTAGAGAGACTGGCGAAGGAACAGAAGAGAAGGAATGCATTGGTTTGTGGCAGAAGGAAGGGGAAAACGGCACGTGTGAGTGTGGGGCTCAGATACACGGAGCAGTTTACTGCGATAACTCCACGGTGTCCGTACTGGACTGTTACTGCATGACAGAGGAGTCGACCACTGGACAGATGGTGGTAGGGAACTGCATCTATAACTGCCTCAACTTGTCTAAGAAAATAGACTACTCTGACATTTTCTACCACCCGGTACCCTCGCTGTGCGACTATCTACATCGGACGGGTACACTCTGTGGCCAGTGCAACTACACAGACCACCATTTCCCGCCAGCATACTCCTACGACGTGAAGTGTGTGAAGTGTGAACAGTCTGACAGTGTGTGGCTGTATATTGCGGTCGCATTTCTTCCGCTGACAGTGTTTATCGTGGTGATACTTGTCTTCAGGGTCAATGTCGTGTACCCAAAGCTCCACGCGTTTGTCTGTTTTGCTCAAATCATAGGAGCCCCCATCCAAGTCCGCATCTTCCTCCTCAGTACCACACACACTGGAACTGCCATTTCAGTAATAACAAGAATCGTCGCCTCACTGTATGGATTTTGGAATTTGGACTTTTTCCGTACCCTGATACCCAGAGTTTGCCTGCACCTCACCACTATGCATGTTCTGGCGTTGGACTACCTTATAGCTGTGTACCCCATGGCACTCATGGTCTTCGCATATGTCCTAACTGAGCTTCACGCACACGGATTTCGACCAGTTCTTTTGCTGTGGAAACCGTTTCATTACATCTCGGCCAGGTTCCGGAGGGAGTGGGACATACAGTCTTCGCTTGTTGACGCCTTTGTCACCTTCTTCATTCTGTCCAGCACAAAACTGTTCAGTGTTTCTTTCGACCTTCTCATCCCCACCACACTGTACGTCGCTACGGGAGATGAGTTTGGGACTTATCTCTATTACGACCCTAATATCGAGTACATGAGACACCGTTCCGGGCATTTGTACTACGGTCTACTGGCTATATCAGTTCTATTGGTGTTTGTTGTCCTCCCCATTGCTGTCTTGGTCTTTTCAACCTGCAAACGCACGGAGAACATATACAGAATACGAGTCTTGAACGAGTTTCTGCACAGTTTTCAGAGGTACTACAAAGACGGTTCAGACGGCACCAGAGACTGTCGCTGGTATGCAGCCTTACAAAACATCTCTCTCTTGGGTATATATGTCATGTACGCAATAGTGAAAACGGAATTTTTGTACAACCTCGCTACACTCTACTACATGCTGGTAGCCATTATAGTGCTATTGGTAGAGCCCTATAAGACAGAGTATGCAGTGTACAACATCTTGGACTGTGCGCTGTATCTGTGGCATGCAATGTTTGCCGTGGCACTAGACACCCTCAACCTATCTTCAGACTTGCAGAGGGAGTACATCGCAATGGGATATGCCTCGATCATTTTCGTGGCCGTAACTCCACTTGTGTTAGTTTCGTCCATCGTCGTTCGCTGGCTACTGACAGTTATAGGCTGTAAAAAACGCAAGAGTTCCGAGCTGCAAGATGACGAGACTTCCCTTGCTCACCGCATCACTAACTCGCAAGAGTACAAAAACAGCTGTGGTTATGTCACCACTCTCCACACTCAAGAAATTATTGAGTCAGACAGATAACAATATCCTCAGAAACGTATGGTCACTTTGCTGTATTAGGTCACACTGAACACCCTTTTCTTGGATCTGTAAATTATGTCTTGACAACACATATAATTATTATACACACTAAATACTGAGCCAAATTTGGGTCCTTCGCTGTAAAATAGCAGTGGGAAAGTTTCTCACGGAGCATTTTCACTGTTTATGTAAATATGTCTTCGTAGTGTTCTTTTGATAGCACATTGTTGCCAAGAAATCGTAGCGTTATTCAGGTAAGTTTGCTTCACTTGTCAAGCTAATAGCAAATGTATACTTTTGCAGCAATGTCCCGAGAAACACAAAACTGGATGCCTACAAGCAATCACAAACGAGAGGGGGACAGTGAGAGAGTGGTGACGTGAGAAGCTACGTAATATTGCAGTAAACTGTCATGTATGTTGGCTGGTAGTGTGTCAGTGAGATAGTGAGAAAGAGATAGTGAAAGAGATAGATAGATAGATACTGAAAATGGTAGAGTAAATGATGTGTGAAATTGGTTGGATGAGTTCTGGAGAGATAGTCAACAAATGTTCTGCGTGGAGTAGTTATGAGAGCACTTCAGAGCTCTTTATCTTCTCCGTCTCATTCGACGTTTCATCTGGACGTGCGTGGATACAGCAGTTGGTGACCAGGAGCTTTTAACACAGCTTCGATATGCAATTGTTTCGTGCTTACAGCCCATGATTCATGCAGTGTGTAGGAGTCAAAAAGGCCGAGAGAGTGGTGGTTAACAAAACGTGCAGCATGCTTTGAAGACAACTTCACATGTGGGTTTTGTGTCTGCGTGTGCGTGTGTGTGTGCAAAACTCACCGGTGCAGTCTTTGCACTGTCTTCAGAAGTCGCTTCTTCTGCAACTTTCGCCTTCTTTGGAGCTGCAGGAGAGCTCTCCAGTACCTCATTCTACACGGAGATAGAGAGAGAGAAGATAGATCTTCCATAATGGCGACTAAGAGAACGGCCTACTGATTCTGAAACTGAGGAGTTGACTCCGTTAGCATGGGCATCTTCATCTGCACTCTCTATCTTCTCTCTTCCTCCTCCTCCTCCTCTTCCTCTCTCTTTCTCCTCCTCCCTCCCTTCTCAGTATCCTGGAGGATTCTCCGACTCACTCTCTTCTTGGTCACTGCAGCTTTCTCCCCCCCCCTCCTCCTCCTCCTCTCCTCTTTCTACCCTTGCCAGGAGACACTTCCTCTGTCCCTCACGTCCCTCGCCCTGTGGCAGAGATATCTCTCTCTTTCTCTCTCTCTCTCTCCTCTTTCTAACTCACCTCCCTGTCCAAAACTCCACCGTCAGCCATGTTTTCTTCCTCTCCCTCGCCCACATCTTTCTCCCCTCCGCCTTTCGCCCCTCCACTCCCTTTCCCGGCTTTCTTCTGCAGAGCTTTCTTTCTCCCTCCTCCTGCTTTAGTAGGTGTCTTTGTGCTCTTTGATTGGGTCTTGGACGGCGTTCTACCAGCTTTACCAGCACCCTTCTTCCCTCTGTGTGTGTGTGTGTGTACCAAGGGTTCAAACTAACTATTGTGTTCTGATAGAACACAAGAGAGCTCGGTCGTAACTTACTTTTTTGGAGTGATTTCGGCGTCACTGACACACTCGCGTTCACGTTCTCTCCTTTCAACTTCTGCTTGAGGCAAACAGAGTACAATATTATCTACTTGATGAGTGTGCAAAACAGTATTGTATACTGTATATACCTTCGTTGGAGTACAGTTATAGTCTGGAGGTAGGTAACAGGCAGTATTGGTCGGTGCATCCTGTCATTGGTAGGCGACACAGATGATCTAGAGAGGGGGACTAACAAATGATGGAACTAACCTTTGGTCTCGGTTTGAAGAGTTTGGACGGAAGCAGCACTTTTCCTGGAAACTCTCCCAACTTTATATTAGTCAGCTACGTACATCGCAAATCACAGAGACATGGGAGAGAGTGAAGAGATGTTGATTCCATACATGTACAAACAATGTGTACAGACCTTTGTTGTAAGAACTCCCATAGCCAAGTCACACACAGCATAGATGTTCTGCGGAGAGAGGGCCACAAAAACTAACAATTTAGCTAAGGACCCAGTTTTTTTTAGATACTTTGCTGGCTTCAGGAGCGTCTGGATCCTGAGTGTCGACCGTCTGTTTGATTGTCTCCAGCAGCTTGCGAAGAAAGCTGTAGTTGTCGTTGCCTTTGGTGAGGGGCTCTAAAAAGAACCACAGGCAACTGTTGGGGAAGATGGACAGGCACGTAAGAGTTTCTAATACACTCAATGGCTTTCACAAAATAACGTGTAGACAGATTCGTAATACTAACACAATCGTCTTTTGAAACGCAGCAAAATGAAACCCACACAGTGAAATTTCAGCAGGGGCAAATTGGGCCTTTGAGAAATATACAATGGGAGACCCATAGTTCCTAACAATACTCATCCCTCGGCCAGAAAATCCCTGCTATCAACGCAACAACAAAGACTACTATAAGCCATATTCTTGATGACTATAGCTACAGCTGTGCTTGGAATGACTCACTCTCTGAAGGTATCGAGGGAGAGAGGGTTGGTCCGACTGAACTGAGGATGATGGGAGATGAGGTAAATGGCGTGAGACACTGCATACTCTGGTAGAATAGCCTGCAGGTTCTCTGCAGTGTAACAGATTGTATGCATACACTGTATAACTATGATAAAATATTCCAACTTGCTTTGCTTCGTGGAATAGTTATATATTTTTCATAAAAGTTAAGCAATTAACAAACAGGCAGATAAAACCTAATAGGGACATACTACTATAGATAAATGCTTTATTAAGACAGATGTTAATAAGACACACAGACGAAAGACGTCCTCACACTTATAGTGCAGTACCTTTTGCTTTCGAGTGTTGTTTCACGCACTCTCTCCGTCTCTCCACGTTGTTGGCCAGGATCTGCCGCAGTCTGAGGCGGGTGTCTAGTCTGGGCTCCACTCCAGCCAGAGCAAACACGCTCAGGTAGGCCAGGGGCAGCTTGAGGGAGCGCAGTCCCTGGTGGAGACTGGATACAAACCCATCTCTTACTTCATCACACGTGTCCTGCATGTAAAGTTAAGATAATGCTAAAGTTGCCTTTTCTGCAAGAACCTCTCTCTTAGGACACCTCTTGAATAATTCTTTTCGCAAGAACAGTTCTTGCATACCAAGGACACCTATGTAGCTAATGTGACCTATGTAGCTAATGTGGACAATTTCTTCTGTCTCATTGCTGTCCAGATTGGAGGGGTTCCCCCATTTACTTCTTGAATGAAGCCTAGCCATGCCATCCTTAATAAAGAAGACACTACAAAAGCCATCACACGGAGTGAAGGACTAAACACTGCTACAGACCTGAATGGAGAGAGCAAGTCTCTGGAACTGAGTCTGGGAGATCAGCTCGTGGTAGTGACTGCTCTGGGCCAGCTTCAGGAGTCCGCACGATGCAGCCAGCCTCAGTCTCGACCGATCGTGAGCACTGCACACACACACACACACACACACTAATACTGAATCCTCCAAGTAACTGAACAAAAGACACTTTGAAAGTCCCCAAGGTGTGGTGTCTCTATTTTTACGTGTATACCAAGGCAGCAAACCCACCCTCACCTGATGTGGTCGTCTCCCTGCAGGTCTCCGTCGTGAGCTAGAACCATGTCCAGGAGGCGGAGGACGGGGCTGGCGAAGTGCTCAAAGTCAGTCTCCAGACCGACTAGCCAGCTGACCAGCAGCCGCAGCCCCAGGACCTTGGCCTGCGTCTCGTAGGACACCTCGTCGTCTGAGCACCACTCTGGGTCTCCCTCACTGTATTCTTCCTTTGCCTGGTGAGAGTGAGGTATAGGAGAACTCACTACAGTGGAACCTCTGACTAATGGACACATTGGGACCGGGGATTGTGTACTTTAGAGGGAGGTTGTCGTCTCTTTGGAGACTAAAGAATGATAGAAAAGTGAATATTTGGCTCCTTACACTAAAGCCTGTAATATCACAGATTGATAGTTACAGGTTTATCCTTTAATTTTCACAAAGAGAACACCTCATAAACTATGAAATTCTAGTCCCTCGACAGTTCCCCAGTATTCAGTACTGATGGAGGGTTGGTTGGTTGGCTCACCCGGTCAACCACCAGGAGTTTCTTCACCACAAACTCCTTGATGACCTTCTTGTGAGAGGACTGGAAGACGACGGGGAATGTCTCTGCCAGTTCCTCCATGGAGGACAAGGTGGTCAGCAGGTGAGGGTGTTCATAGTCCATGGCCGTCAGTAGACACTGCAGAGGTACATGTGGCAAATGTCTGTAGTTAAAGAGTCAATGAGGTGTTCTTTTTTCTTGGCTAAAATTGCATTAAAGAAGTTTTCTTGGGGAAAATAAGTCTCCTTATTAGAGAGATGCCATTATATCAGGGGTGTCCTATCAGGGGTGTCCTAAGAGGGTTCCACTGTACATGCGCTGGCTCCTAAAGGACTTGCCTTAAAGACTCGATGTAGGATGGGTGTTGGTTCCGAGAACACTGCTGCAATGCAGCGAATGGTGTGTCTGGCCAACTGGGGAGGTCCACTGTGGGCCAGCTTTGTCAGAAGAGGCTGCAGACACCTGTGGTTCCAGGAATGAAGAGACAGACGATGAGTCACGTTGTTTACAGAAAGAGAGATTCAGATAGTCTGAGAGCTCCGTCCGTACCCTGCTGTGGTCTGGTCAATGTTTGCTCCAGTGTATGTCAGGATCTGAAGAGTATCCCCAACTGTATATACCAAAAGAGAGCGGTTACAATTGTAGTGGGAAACTTACAAGAATAGTACGTAATTATCACGTGCCAGTAGCAGATGTTGCAAATGTTCTCACACACACACACAATTCTAGGAGAAAACCTGTTTATTAACTGGAATAACATCTCCTTCAAAAGCTTCCCAATAAGCGGGTATATATATATATACCGAGACCACACCCACTGACAACACCCACCAATCTCAGAGTCGTCGTGTCTCAGGAGAGAGAGGAGGTTCTGGAAGACTTCAGGGCTAGCAAACTGGGCCGGAGTCAGTTCTGCCAGGATCTTGAGGAGGTGGACCGTCTTCTTGGCTCGAGTTGCCTCCTGCCTCTCCTCTGCAGCGCTCTGACTCAGACTGGGCTCACACAGCTGGCCCACACACTCCTCCACCAGCACCGACACACACCTGGACACACAGTATATATTACACATATTGGGTATATATAATTATGTGCCTCTAGAGAGAAGTGGAATGCCCTTTTTATATACCGTAGGAAAAATGTTCCTGTAAAATGTGTGAAATGGCGGCTACTTTAATATTGCCAACTTAAGCTTTTAATTTGGTGGTCCAGCGCAATATATACCACCAAATGGCCAAATTAAAACTCTTGCCAATGCCACACGCATAAGGAAGAAGGGGAGGAAGGGAGAAGGAGACACCCACTTGCAGTCAATCAACATGGGGCAGCAGCGGTCTAACAGCGTCTTCACCGTCTCCACTATCCCATGTTTGGTTCCAATCTTGCTCAGGGCAGCCCCCTATATCAGACACCATCTATTGTCATGTACTGCACAAGGCAGAAATGAGTTACTATTTTCACCTTTGACTTGATGACATCATCGCAAGTTGTGGTGAGTTGAAGAGCGTCGAGAAGGTGCTGTTTCAGCCGGTCGTCGTCCAGCATCACCGAGAGCTCTCTGAGGTGAGTCTGGCATCGCATGGGGTCAGGGAGCTGCCCTGGTGGGGGAGGGGTTAAATCATTTATCAGCTGTCCACAAATGCTGCTCTACTGGTAAAATGAGTAATTTTCAGTGGAGATCTTACTGGCGAGTTGAATGATTTTGGTCATTTTCATCTCTTTCTTTCTCTCCTCCTGAATCATACAGAAGATACAGCTAATGAAATTTCTCCAGTCACACATCCAACAGCACTAGAGAGACTGTATCGACTCACAATCATATCCTCCTTCTGGTAGATCTCAATAAGCTCTGAAAAGTGGCACCTCAACCTGTATACAAACAGATACACACCAATCACCATCATCATGGGGTCAACTCCATTTTTCAGACATACTGTACCACAACAACTATTTTGATGAGCTTGCGTAGCATTAACCTCAAAAGCATCAAGTTATTAGCAATGAGTCTCTACTGTACCATTATGGGGTGAGCACCATACATTACACATACTGTACCGCAACTGTTTTGAGGTGGACCCCCATAATCATTAGATATACTACTACGGTGTGGACCCCATAAGACATACTGTACCACAACTGTTACGAGGTGGACCCCCGTAATTATTAGATATACTACTATATACGGTGTGGACCCCACATACTGTTCTCTGGTACGCAGAAGTTCCTCAAAGGCTCGGGAGGCGTTTTCGTCCAGCCGGGAGAAGAAATGACTCAACCGCTGCATGCGGTCCTCGGAGGGGAGAGAGAGCGGCACGAGACAGCTGAGGAGGCAGCGCTCCACGCACAGCCGGTCCTCTCGACTGTTCTGGTAGTAGGAGTGGAGGATCTTGTTGGGGATCCAGGCCATTCTGTCTGCGTCCAGTCGACTGACACCCACTTCAGATGACGTGGAACTGAAGCAACGAGAGGATCATAGGGAAAAAGAACACACTTTGTTAAACACAGAGCAACCGTGTTTGTTTTGTCAAGGAGGTTGTGGACCCTCAATTATAAAGTAATGTTTAGTCCTACTGGAAATATCCTTAAAATATCTAGCAAGAGACAGAGGGTGCAGATGTATATATACCTGGACATTATCTGTCGGTAGAGACGAGCTAGATTGGTCATGGCTTCCTTACGAATGCTCCACTGGCAAAGTGAGTCACAAAGATAGAAAGCAGGGAAGAGAGGTGGAAAAGGGAAGTCAGTACAGGACTCAAACATGGAGAGTTAGCTCACAGATTTGTCTCTCATCCTCTCTTGGAGATCCGTCATCAGCTAGGGACAGAGAGAGAGGAGAGAGAGAGAGAGAGAGAGAGAGAGGAGAAATGATTATAAGGTACAGTTCAAATAATAGGGTGAATTAAAGTTCTTTTGCCAAGCAACTGGGAGTAAGACCATCCATCTTGAATAACTTGACTATAGCGGGAGTGTGCAGTGTTTAGGTGTAACTGTGGGAAAATGGCCTAAACTTTTCGTACTTTTTGTGAGCAAGTGGAGTGAAAGACAGTCTAGCCAACAATCCTTAAGAACTTGACTATAGCTGGAGAGTGCAGAGATACTCACCGACTGGGGCACGGCCTTGGGGCTGTCGGCTGCTGCCTCAGAGACCACCTTGACACTCTCCATCCTCACTTTCTCGTCTTTGTCGTGGAACCTCTCGTGGAGATGGTGGGCCACCTCTGTCGCCAGGTGAGGATGGTACACCAGGAAATACTTGGAGTAGCGGATACACTCCACACGGACACTCGGAGATATGTCGGTGAACCTGAGATTGTTCAATAAAATATTATATGGCTACCAATTAGAACCGATATCTACATCAATACCATAGTCAACAAGGTGCACCTAGTAGCTTTTATCTTGCCCCAGACACCTCAGATCGTTCAAATACACCCCTCCCTTTTTAATGGACACTAATTAATGAATAGAGCATTATCAATCTGGTGCTAATACCCATAGTGTATTATTTAATCATAAGGGGCACCTCATTAATGGTACTAGTTTGTACTTTTCCACTGTAGCAGTATCTATACTCATTCAATACTCATACAGTAGCAATATGGATATCGTACTGTAGTAGCAGTATTATGATAGAGTGAAGACTTGCCTGGCAAGGAAGCACGTCCAGAGAGATTTGTGCTCGCTGGCCAGTCTGGACTCCCGTGGTGAGAACATTTTGGCCAGGAGACGAGTTACCTCCAGTCTCTCCTCCGTATCCGTACTCTGTCCACACACCACACACACACACACACAGAGTTTTAATAACCAGATCAGGTCTTATATTACGCATAGAGCTTTAGACTAAAAGGCACATAAGGCGACATGAGACTAGGGTGTGTCACAATGTGTGAATCTCATTCATTCTCTTTGCTGTCTGAGAATACATCACCCAAGGCAGGCAATCCTTCTACACCAAGACTAATATAGAAAGAGATCCAGGGGCCGGCAAAGTTGATAATCTGACACACAGACCTTCAGTTTGAACTCCAGTTGAGGCATGACAGAGAGGAGTATGGAGGAGTCTATGGCGTGCAGCTCCAGTATCAGGTCGTATATATGATCAGCCACTTCGCTCTCCGCACTGCGACCTACCACTAGAGCATTGTTGAAGAACTGCGCACAAGAGAGAAAGACAGATTCATGTACGCATGATATAATGATAGAGAAAGACAGATTGAGAATGAAAATAGCTGCTGGACCACGCCTTTTGTAGACAAAAGCAGTGCATAAAATAAAACTCGGCTCGACACTGCGACGGAAAATGAATTATGCGATGCAGTAGCTATGCAGCGCTCCTGCATTACATGCACAAAGAGTCTGGAGATATACTGAAAGAAAGTAGAGGGCTAGACAGATATTGTACCAGTTGAATGTAAGGCTCCAAGTATTGGCTGGTTTTCCTCACAAAATCCGCTGCAAAGTTATACACAGCTTTCGAGTTGCTCTGCATCAAAACGTTATAGAGTGTGTCACAGCAAATCATTGAACATTAATCCTTCTGACCTTTGTCGGTTCAACAAAGTTGGTGAGAATGGTATCAAGTATTTCTTGGGACAGACTCTCTCCCTCTTGGAACACCGATGACATAATGTCCATCATGTACATCTTGACTTTACTGGACTGTTGGTCACTGTTTGGGAGAAGAGGAGAGGAAGAGAGACAGAGAAGGACACAGTGGATAAAGAGAGAAAGGAGGAGTAGAGAGAGTGTGTATGTGTGTAGGGGGGGGGAGAAGCCCAGTGTGGAAGAGAAGGGAGGGAGAGAAAGTGAAGGAGGTTAAATTTTTCAGTAAGAGAAGTGATTGTAACTGACTTGACAATGGCGAACATCATCTTGAACAGGTCGGCCAGGAGTTCTTGTGAGTCCAGAGAGAGACAGAGATTGAAGGCCTTAGTGGTGGCCAGACACTCGAGGAGGTGGAAACTGGAACGAAATGCCGGAGCACCGGGCTTCTCAAGCCCTTGCAGCTGAGTCACAAACAGCGAGAAAACCACCTGGGCAATAATGGGAATAAGACAGAGAAGTGTGTGGAATTGAAAAAAAAACAGGAAGAGGAGAGAGAAAAAGGAAGGGTGTATATAGAAGAAACTGAGTAAGAGAGAAATGGTATGGGTGGTTGAATGAAATGGAGGAGGAGAGAAAAGGAGGGAGGGAGAAACCTTCAACTGGTCCTCGTCATAGGGAGGGTCGGGGTAAAAAAGTCGGAACAGTTCTGCCATGCAGCAGGCAGCAAGAAGCCGAACGTCTCTCGTCTTGTGGTGCTGGATGAAAGGCTCCACCAGCACTGCCGACAGAGACGCCAGCGGAGTGGCTATACTGTCCTCCAGATCCTCTGTTTCGGCCAGAAACTTGGAACACGCCTGAGGAAAGGGGTGACTGGGGGGAAATGGTGGAGTTCAGTGAATACTTACTCTCAGACGTTTGACCAGCTCCTCGGAGCTGATTTTGGAGTTGATTTGCTGGAAGGGAAGGACGGAGCACCGCGAGGCGCCAGACCTCGACATTTCCACTCCCTCTCCTCGCTGGGTGGGTAGTTTCTCGAGGCAGCTGCTCCGTAGGTTTCGGGCCAAGCCTTCTCCCCGCTCCCGCGGCTATTCCGTAGCACAGAGGAGTCAAAATTGCAGCAAATGGCTCCCGCACACTTCACTGGATGTCTTTGTCGTTAGAGATTCCCAGCTGTCGCTCTAGACTCCAGCTAATAAGCTTTATCCGTCCACTCGCTCACAGTCTTCCCAAAACCGCCATTTTTGCATGAGTATACGAAAGTATACGGAGCATGTGCTCTGACCTTTGACCCTCACTGGGCGGAGCTGGACGACCTGCAGCTCAGCTCTATCATCATGAAGCTTGTAATTTTGGAAGATTACGACAAGGCAAGCGAATGGGCAGCCAAGTATGTCCGAAACAGCATCCTAAAGTTCAACCCAGGCCCTGGCAAGTTCTTTGTGCTGGGCCTCCCCACAGGTATAGCTGCTAACCTACAATGTGCTGTCGGTTTTGCAATTTTTGTGAGAAGGTTCAGGGAAGGGCACACTAACCGACCATCCCAATTATCTTGAATATAGCTGCAGAGTGTAATGCAAAAATCACACTGAGGAGTGATAGTGGAAAATGGGGTTGCCTAAGCATTAAGACTCACATGAATTAGACCGCCGTGCAACATATGAATGGGGGGTAACTGTTCTCTGTGCATAAATGTGCTCTGCAGGCAGTACTCCACTGGGGATGTACAGGAAACTGGTTGAGTTCCACAAAGAAGGCAAGCTATCCTTCCAGTACATCAAGACATTCAACATGGACGAATACGTTGGTACGGAAAACAACGAAACGAGGAAGACAAACACTCACTCTTTCCCTCTCCTCCCCTGGTGTAGGTATCCCGGATGATCATCCCGAGAGCTACCACACGTACATGTGGCAAAACCTCTTCCAACACATTGACATAGACCCAACCAATGTTCACATTCTTGACGGAAATGCTCAGAACCTCCAGAAAGAGTGCGATGACTTTGAACAGTCCATCAAAGACGCCGGTGGAGTTGACTTGTTTGTTGGAGGTGGGAGAGACTAATGATGACCACACCCACCCACACACACATGTACTCGAGAAATGTTTTCCTTCTTTGGAGATATCGCAGAGTGTTTGGTGGGAGTGGCTTGTTAGCTCTCTCTCTCTCTAGGAGGCAATGTGTTCGTAGCAGCACACATTAGGAGGGAGACCCTTCAACTGAGGGATTGTTTGTACCGATTTGTACCGACACATTCACACCTCCACTCTACATACATTCACAGTGGGAAACCACGTAAAAACTTATTAAGCACAATTTTAAGAGTTAGGAGACCCCTATCCGAGGTGTAATATAAGTCATAAACGCTACTACCATCCTCTATTTGTTTCTCTTTTTGAAAAGTTGTGGTGGTATTGTTGCTCTGCATGCATGCATACAGGGATTGGTCCAGACGGCCATATAGCCTTTAACGAACCAGGTTCCTCCCTCGTTTCCCGGACTAGGATCAAATCTCTGGCAGTCGACACTATCCAGGCCAACGCCCGCTTCTTTGGCGGCAATGTGGGTCAGGTTCCTACCATGGCGCTCACTGTGGGCGTTGGCACTGTCATGGACGCCAGGGAGGTAACTCAGTCTCTCTCTCTCCCTCCTTCTATGTGGGTGTCCTCCTAGAAAAAACTTATTTCTCTACTCTTGAGAAAGCTGCGAAAGATTTTCCATCCACTGTAAAATTTTGCTTCACCCACTGACAGGTTGTTGCGTGGGTATATAGCTTTTTCTTGACCCATTCGTCAAGTATTGCTGTACATGGTGGTGTGTTTCAGATGTGTGTGTGTGTGTGGGATGATCAAATTCAAACATTATGAGAAAGTGCTATCTTTCACTTTACTCTTCCTGCTGTACACTCTGTCTAGGTGATGATTCTTATTACTGGGTCACACAAGGCCTTTGCTCTCTACAAGGCCATAGAAGAAGGATTGAACCACATGTGGACAGTGTCAGCCTTTCAGCAACATCCCAAGACGCTGTTTGTCTGCGACGAGGACGCCACCCTCGAACTCCGCGTCAAGACTGTCAAATACTTCAAAGGACTCATGGACGTTCATAACAAACTAGTCCAAGACCCTTACTTAGACTAATACTATAGCGTGATGAATTTCAGGTAGAAATGAATGGAGAGTTGTATGGAGTATATAGTCGCTAGAGATACAGTACATGGGTGTATAAGTGATCCTTGGCAATGATGATGATGAATGAACTGCTCCATTAGGTCAAGTTGGAGGAGACCAACCAATTGTAGCTACAACGCCGTAGTGGTCGGAACATGGAGGAGAACTACAAAACAGGGAACAAAGTCTGTAAACAAACATGGTGGAGATATCAAAGTGTGTTTATTCAGGCCTTTTCCAGAGGTGCATAAACACATACGTATGAGGTGTAAACAGGTTTCTTTTATAAAGAGGTATCCTTCATCCAGAGGGCCCTGTTTACTGTGTTAACATACCAATGGTCTCCGTCGTCCATTATGGTGGCACTGGTGACCCTGAGCTCAGTGGAGTGTGGTTGGTGGAAGATGTAATCAATCTGTGTGACATGAAACACGCACGCAGTCAAAACTCTCCACTCTGCCGCGTGTCATTTGTGTGTGTGAGTCAAGACTGATGCAATACAGTGGAGCAGTGTAATGCTCACTCCTAATAAGGAACACCACTCTTAAATCTGACTTTAGGGACCTATGAATCAATGACATCTTGGGACAAATTTCACGATCCCAGCACGTCCTTGATTTGGAGGTTCCACTGTATCTTTACCCGCTTGGTGGGGCGGTCAGTAAAGGTTGAAAACGTTAATCCGTCGAGATTGCTCTTGTGGCCGGCTTCCATCCAAGTGTCTCTCAATCTGTCGGTAAAGACTCTTTCTATATTCACCTCGCCTCTTAGAAATCTGTACAGAGACAGCCCCCTATAATTAGTGTTAATAAGGTCCAAAATACTCTGTTTGCCTGATGGCTGGTGAACCAGGTTCAGCATTAAGATCCCCCATCAATAGTTTATATCCACTGAATCTCGACATGTATTTCCACAGCTCGACAACGCTCCTGAAAGAAAGAACACGGAATCTGACTAGATATAGTTGAAAAAAGGCATTGCCGAGCGACTAACTTTTCTTGTGATGCCGCACTGAGCGAGAGATGAGTGACAAAGACATGCACCTGGGAGTAGAGAAGGAGAAAGAGAGAGAGGCATTGCTTGGTAGATTTGGTGTTACTTTAATGCAGGTAACGTTAATCGAACAAGAGGTAATGTTTTGCAGATTGCTTAGTGAAAAGAGCGATCCCCGGTAAACTTTCTACCACTGGGTTTCCAACTTGAGATTAAACTTCCATGTTTTGCGGTAATAAAAGCTGCAGGCCTCAAAACTCTCCACGTATTATAGTCTGTATTTCTCCAGACCCACCTTGTCCAGGGAGGGAGTGAGGATCTCTGCATGGAGGCAGATCCTCTGGTGAGTGTCTTCCTCGTCTGATTCATTCCTAGAGGAGTTAGCAATACAACCTGACCTAGCATGGTATTGTGTCGGCCTCATCTGTGACGTCCAATTCACCTCTACTAAGACAAAAAACGATATTATTATTATTTTATTTGTAGCTCGAGGTTTAGTGCATTTTAGGACTATCGAGTATTGCTAACACGGATGAAAACATAGTAATGGTCTTAAACTGGAAGACTGAAAGGGTTAATTAATCAACCCATCACTAATTTCTGGTTGTGTCCTATTAAAGTCTGTTTGTTTGGCAAGAGTATTAATGTGCTTTATAATACTGCTGTTGAACTGTACTTGATTCTCCTACCGATACAAGAAGATATAGTCATGACGGAGGATGGGGTATCGAGATAAGATAGCTACACCCTCTTCTGTTCTTACGTTGATACGCTCCATGTACAGCATTGCTGGCTGGAATACATACTGTAAACAACAACAAACATGTAAACAACAAAGAGAGCAACAATATATGCAATAGCCAGAAGGCTCATCTAAGAAATTCCCTTCGTCCAAATTACTCCATTTCCATCATCCTGTGCTAACGCAATAACATCCTAATGAGCCAGTGCCAATTTCGTCAACTACACAAAGCCCTGTGGCCATATATCTTGCGCTGTGAGTACTGAGTATGTCAATGCTTGCACCAGTAGCGACTTGGCACCTACAAATGGCCATTTAGGCTCAAAAGGTTTGCCTGAGACCGCAGCAGAGAAGGGTGGTGCACAGAGAGCAGAAATCACTCTGCGAATGAGCTAGAGTGTGAGACGGGCGACTGAGGTGTTACCTGGTAGTCTGGTAGAAATCTAGCCAGTTCTCCGATCTGATTGTGGGTGTGGTCACCAGCCTCAAACCGCACCTCTTGTACAGCTAGAATATCCAGGTCCTGAGCTTGCAGCATCTGCGCTGGAGGACACCCCACTACTACAATGTTGTATATACATCATACGCACTGAAGCCTCTGAATAAGGGAGACATTGAAAGTGTCCTATATTCAGAGGTGCCCCCTCTCTTATACAGATGTAATGAGGTAATAAACTATAATGCATGTATGTATTAGTATTGGGCAAGTCTTCTTCATAGAAGTGTCCTATTCAAAGGAACATTACCGGAGGTTCCGCTGTACACAGCACCGCGTACTGTACATACATAAGTACTGAGCTAGCAGGGAAAGACGCAAGGTGTGGTGAGGTGTTCCTGACCTGGACTGACACACCAATGCACAGGTGTTGGCCATTTCCCAGCCTCAAATGCTGACCACACTATTAGCAGCTAACTCGAGAATGCAAAGATTGTCATCTGACTACAAACTTCATGCCAGGGGTGTCTGATTCTCAAGGCTCCACGCAGCCTGGGAACTGCCAGGGCAGTTGGTAGTGAGTGGGCAGAAGTGATACTAAAGAAAAGCTTAGGCTTGCCTAAACAACGCAAATTGAGCAATCTGTCCAGGTCACACCGATTACACCACTACATGCAAATGTACGTACTAAGCCAACATAGCAATATCCCACATTCAGTCACAACTCTATTACTGAAAGCATTCCTGGATCATTACCAGCCGACATTTCATGGTGGGGTAAATGCTGGTGCAAACACTCCTGATATAGGCATGCTCGCGTTTCGAAAGGATAAACAGTGTTGGTAGGGGAAAATGTGGGGGTTGATTGTTGGGGGGAGACGTGATTCACCACACCTTTCCAAGCCTCCAGAGTCTTTCCGAGTAACTCTCCCATTCAAAACTATTCAGATTCCACACGTTGTACGTTGCTAGTCTGAGAGATTGGCGACCGGGCGGCGATTCTCGGCAACACAGAGTGCCGTTGCAATGGCGGGAACAACACTCATTTGTTACGGTCCACTCGCCAGTTTGTAGACACTGGTTTCCAAGAAGCTGCCTTTCAGACTGCTTTTCCCAGTGAAAGGCATGAGAAACATCTTCTTGTCCAGTGCATGCAGAACACTGGTTAGCTCCATGACGACAAATATCCCAACAGTACCCGTTTTGTTTATGGTATGCATTAGCACAGGTCGCAGTGTGTGTGTCAACACGTGAGTCCGACAAACTAGAGAAACACGAACTCAGATGAAGTTGCGGACGTGTGGAGGATATGTGGCTGAATACGTGATAGTCATTATTGAGATCTCTAGTTAGAGTCAGCCTGTGGTGCAGCTTTTGGCCCTCTGTCCTTTTCAAGGAGATTGTGTACAGAAATCCGAGCAGTATATGCATCCTTTGAATGTATGTTTGCAAGGAGATGATGAATTTCTGCTCCAACACATACGGAGTGACACCATTAGCTGTGTAATACAATCTCTTTTGACCAATTATGCGTGTACGTGTGTGTGTGTTAGTGGAGGGAGAGATGGTAACGGTTTTTCTGGGGAAATGGGAGACTTACTGATTTGCTAAAGTCCTGAACTTCAGTTGAAGCTCCTGTTTCGGCCTGTACCACTTTCTGGGCTATCTGAGGAGAAAATGCAACTAGCTAGACCTCGAGCAAGCTGAGAAATAAACGAGAGGGGATTTAGGGACAAGTGAAACCTGCACAGCATCTGAAACGTCGCTAGGAGGAGGCGTGGAGTGAGAGAGGGGGAGTTTCTGAGCCAGCACGTGACCGTACGCCAGTTGGAACTCTGTTGACAGAGATGAACGGCTAGCGTTTGGGTAGTGGGGGCGAGAGTAACGAGAGGGCATTCACCTGTTTCATCGGACGACGTGGACGGAGGACGAGAGAGAAGAAACAAGACGATCCCAACTAGAAGCACCATCACCTTGGTTTTCCTTTCTAATACGTGCGCACCAACAAATATTTGAGGGCGGGGCTAGTAATCTGCGGTTACTTGTTCATGCAACACATTGAGTTATGAATTGAGTGATAGTGCACCGAAAAGTGACTGGTGAATAGAACTGTGATAAAGAAAAAACCTGCAAAATTTGACACAAACTAGTCGCAAAAGTGACGGCTACACATAACCATACACTACCCAGCCAGGATCTTGCTCAGTCTGTCGATTCTCTGCCGGGACTGTCGTCCGTCCACTGCAGAGGTTGGGCGGAGGAGGAGGTGGAGCGGCAGTCGCAACGGGGGGACGGGGAACAAGTCTCTGGTGGTGGGGAAGATCGGGTCGGGTGCTGAGACTATGGAGGGCGAAATCTCTGAGTTGTACGGAGGAACCGTGTTGCGATGAGTCTCTGCTATAGCTGCTCATGCCACTGACCACAGAGGAGTCCGGGCTGTTGGGTCTCTCTGGGTAGATTGGGTAGCCGCGAGATAGGAGGCTTCGAGGCTCCCTGTTGATTCTGTAGTCGGTGGCTGGAGATCGGGGTGTCATGGGGCTCGCCCGCGGTGGAGATATACTCCGCAGTACCGCAGGTTCCTCTGTGATGGTGGGGGTCCGATATTTCGACTGCAGATCCCTGGCTCTGGGACTGGAGTCTGACTGAAACCAGGGGAGTGGTTTTGGTCTGTGAACCGAGTGTTGCTGGCCGTGGTAGGCTCCTGATGATCCTCCACTTGGCAGTCCGTTGGGTGTGGAGGCAAGATGGCCACTTGTGAGTTGGGTCTTGGCTGTGACGGCCTCCCTCTTCCCCCGCGAAGACCTGATCTGGACTACTCTTCGACTCAGAGAGCTGGAGGCCAGCGTCGAATCACTCATGTAGCCGTTTTTCCGACTGGCCGTCTTTCGGCGATTGGCGCTGGGACCAGGGCACCCATGGCTGATGTTCTCAATGCTGTGACATCGATAGACTCCTCCCTGTGAGTGGGAAAGCACACAGATTGTGACACAGAAAGTTTGTATGATGTAGGACAACAAATCCCACATCAAAGGTCCTTGCAACTGCAGGGTCAGGTGCTTTCAAGGAAATGGGAAGTGCATGCAAAGCACAGCTGACAATAATATAGGCACAATGACAATGGCTCTTGAAGGGAATTTCATTGTATCCCCTGCTGTTAGATCATGTCAACTTTGTGCAAACTATGCGCAGAGTCAGGGAGTAGCTGGCGGTAGTAAGAGCACGTCAAATGGTCAGGCTTAGCCTTTGAAGTTACTCTCAGAACGCCGCTAAAGCATGCAGATTAGGCAGCAGATGTGTGTGGAAGGGGAGAACTCCGTTTTACCTCTGTCGCTGCAGCGCTGCAGCTGCGGGTCCCGTGAACCTCACTCGGCGGGTCCCAGAAGTGGATTCCCGTGAAACGGTACAGGCGACTCTCGCGGAACACGGTTTTCTCCTTCTTTCTCGCATCTTCTATGACTCTCGTCAGTAGCAGCTTCTGCCCGAGCAGACGAGCTTGGCTTTTCTTGACGGATTTGGGCAGCACCGAGTTCATGTAACCCATAAGACAGTCCACAACTTTGTGTCCCGGGAAACAGTTTTCGTAGCTTCGCAGAGTGTACGAGTGGCGACCGGGTTTTACGGACCTCTCCAGATGCGACACGATTCTCTCCCACAGCAGAGTAGCCTGGAAACCGTCCGTTCTCAGCTCAACTTGCGTGGAACCGTCCGAACTCTGCTGCTGCTGCGGATCCATTTCCGACTTGGACCTCGGCCTGGCTAAGTCGTCCGCTAGCAGTCGCTTTCTGCAGAACTCTTCACCTTCCGAATTGCACCTCAATTTCTGTGGCGCGCAGTCTCCGCAATCACCGCTAATCGCTTCCGCTTGTCGCAGATCACGTGGCGGCGCGCTCAGTAAGAACTTGAAAGACCTCCGCAGCCAAGAGCTGCCCTTTTGCCTTGAATAGCCTGCACCGTCATCTGAATGGAGCCTCAATCTACTATAGCTTATACTGCTGCTCAATGCATGCCGCATACTTGCCGTCGCCGGCAGAATCCTATTTGGCTGCTCACACACCGCGGACGCTGAATAGCTAGTGATGTCAGTATTCGGCAGTCGAGCTAAATATTCATTTTGGACTTTCTGTTAGGACTGCCTCTGTTCATAGCTATTTGTAGCTTGCGGCCTCACTTTCTATGTTTTCTTGGGAGGTTTGTTAGCACCCCTGCTTCCTGTTGGATTCAATGGAGCAAGCATGGGTGGCCTTTTCTGGTGACCACTCTAGCTGATGTGCTCCTTCAAAACTCACTTTGTTTGGTATGAGTTGTTAATGAAGTGCCTCAATGTACTTCAAAGGAACATCAGTGCAAGGTCAAGGTATTATGAGGAGCTACTTATATGCCCACAGATGTAATATGTATAATGTCATAAAAGCCATTCTATCTATGACTCCCCTGACATCCTTTATCCCAATAGAGTATAGCTACTTATATGCCTACAGATGTGCAATGCCATTTATGGATCTATTATTACTGACCTGGCATCCTTCTTCCAAATAGAGGAGAGCCCATATACATACGTAGCTAATGCCATAAAGCCATCGTGTCTAAAGACCGTTTGGTTACCCTTTATCCTAATAGGTTGTTATTTGAGTGGCTGCTGCAGTGGTAAGTGCTGAACTGAAGTGATGCGACGAAAGACATCAAAGCTGGTGCTACATTCCTCTGCTAACAGATACACCATTCTGAAGTCTTTCAGGGCAGCCAAACATGGACACCAGCAGAGTTGTTATGCTGCAAATAAATAAACACTTGAATCTAATCACGTTGATTAAATGCCGTGTCAATATTAGCATTTCTGGTGTCCAATATCAGCCATTTGTGTCCCGAACAGTCTTGGCAGGGCAGAGCCATTGTTAATTATTTCCAATACAAGCACAATAGTTGCTATAGACGATGTATAAATCTGCTGAAAGCGGCACCAAATTAATGTTCCTTGCGACTTGCAGCCTTGAATATCAATTTCGCTGAGTTTGCGCATGCGCATAAATCACTGAACTTTTATGATTTCGCGGGGTTTACACGCGCTATGGCGGATGACGACGGAGCAGTAAACAACACCGTCCCCCCGGCGGCCAAACGGGCCTGCACGGAGAAGATAAAGGTGAGAAGATACTACTGGAAGCTTTGGTTAACCTACAGAACCTCTCCGTGTCCCGCGGCAGGTGCTGGTTACGGGAGGAACGGGGCTTGTAGGCCGCGCTCTCGAGAGTCACGTGATCTCCGACCCCCAGCCCAACGAAGAATGGATATTCCTTAGCTCCAAAGACGGCGACCTGCGGTAAACATACCAGGCCACACACACACGCACACACACACACTTGGCTGCAATCAAAGTGCACTGAGTGGTGGAATTCTGTTGCCTCCAGCGATATGGCACAGGCTAGACGAGTGTTTGAGCTGCACAGACCCACCCATGTCGCCCACCTGGCTGCCATGGTGGGAGGACTCTTCAAAAACATGAAGTACAAACTTGACTTTTTGGTAAGGGAGGCCACTACATTGGAGTAATAGGGGGGTTCGCATTATCGTTGTCCTTGATAAGTCACCACACATACACACCCATTTCTCATTTATTATACTCTCTATATAGTCCTAACCACCCTAGTTTACAATAAGCCTCTTTATTACAAGGGTGGTGGTGTTAGTAATGGTAAATGGATCCCTTTGCCTACAATTCATGCATATTCTGGTAAATATTTCCCACAATGGGAGACGTCCTGCAAGTACTGTGTTCTAGCAATGCAGTGTTATGCACGAGTAAACCCCATGCAGTGAAGCCCGCACTGAAACATCGACACAGCTTCCACAAAACCACGTACGCATTGATCTCTTGATGTAAGGGCTTCCCTGGTTTATGGTGTAGTTCTAGAGTAGTGGAGGGACAGGAATGTACAGTTGTTGAACTGCAAAACCTTTATTGTGTGGGAACAGAGGGAGAACCTATTGATGAATGACTGTGTGTTGGAGTGTTGTCGGGAGTTCGGGGTGTCTCGCTGCGTCTCCTGTCTCTCTACCTGCATATTTCCCGACAAGACCACTTACCCCATCGACGAAACGATGGTGAGCTAGCTCCACCCCCTCTCTCCCTTCTTCTTCCTCCTCCCTCGCTGTACTCTTTGCGCACTATATAGTGCAGTGGAACCCCTCTATAAGGACACCTCTGAAATGAGGGAACTTCTCTACCTTTTTTCCGCAGGAAAAGTCTCTATTTTGATGGAAACTTTATTCTGTCCCATTAGTGTTGGGATTACAGGGATTACTCAGAGCCTGTGTTTTCCCTTTCTCTATTGCACTGTACAGTGCAACTGCAACTTGATACAACCACAAAACAAACAGATTTTGAAACAAACTCATAAATTATTGTGTAGCTAGTGTATATATAGGAGGGAGTGAGAGGAAGTAGAAGAAGGGAACCATTAGTGGACAATAAATGAATTTTTTAAACTCTCCAACTTTGAAACTTTCCCGTGTTGTATCCATATTTTAACCCTTTATTCCCCTCTCCAGATTCACAATGGACCGCCGCACGACTCAAACTTTGGATATGCGTACGCCAAGCGATTGATTGACATCCAAAACAGGTATATATATATAGCTCAGATTACATCATCTCTCTGTCACCATTTGATGCTGTGATATATATACTATATACCTCTTGTGTCTCGCACCTCAGTCGAATTTGATTACCTCTTAACACTATGGTATTCCCTCTCACTCTTTCCCTCTCTCCTATCGATCCTCCTACCTCTCCTCTCTCCTTCCCTCTCTCCTCTCTCCTTCCCTCTCTCCTTGCTCCCCCAGAGCCTACCACGAACAGTACGGCTGCATGTTCACAAGCGTCATTCCCACTAACATATTTGGTCCTCACGACAACTTCAACCTTCAAGACAGTCACGTGATACCTGGCCTCATCCACAAATGCTACATCGCTAAACGTGAGGTTGTAACTATAGGGATATTCCACTGTATAATTATACACCTCAGCTCTGATAGTGATTTTGACGGAGTTGCATTGTGTATCAGTTGAACAGTTGAAAGAAGACACCAGTCACTGTGAACCACGATCACTATGTAAGACCCCCTCTTGTTGTCCCCCACAGAGAAAGATGAACCTCTAACAGTGCTTGGGACGGGGTCTCCTCTGAGGCAGTTTATCTACTCCAAGGTGCGTGTGTGTGTGTGTGTGCGTGTGTGTGTGTGTGTGTGTGTGTTCGTAGTTCATGAGAGTGTCCCATTGTGTTGAGGTGGTGGAGGTTTTGAGGCGTGTACTCAGTTGTTGTTGTTAGCTCTGCCAAGACAGACCTTGGTGGGGGGTATGTACCTCGACGTGGAATCTGGTAATTCTAACACTGGGGGAAGCGCAGCCCCCTCTTCATTGCGTGACCACTTTCTCTCTTTTTCCTTTTCCCCGTTGCTCTGCTATACACGTTAGGTCCAAAATTGGCACAAAGATCACGAAAACGTAAACCAAATTTGGCTGGGCTCTCATATTCTCCCTCCCTCTCCTCCACTTCCCTCTCTAAACTCCCTCTCCCTCTCTTCCCTCCCTCACCCATCTCTACTCAATGTTTCCAGGATTTGGCTCGGCTCTCTCTGTGGGTACTGAGGGAGTACCACGAAATCGATCCCATCATACTCTCAGGTGTTACATCATCGTTTAATTGACAGACGATGTAATGATTACATCATCCACTCAGTGGGAGAGGAGGATGAGGTATCGATCAGAGAGGTGGCGTTGATGATCAACAAAGCTATGGGAATGAAGCAGGGCATACAGGTACAATATATCAAGTATTCACCCTTTATACAGAGGTGTGCTTTATTCAGAATTCAGTTGCGACGCCCCATTTTAACACGTATATGAGGCATTGTAACTGTCGTTGCACTGCAGTTCGACGGTAGTAAGTCAGACGGTCAGTTGAAAAAGACGGCGAGCAACTCAAAACTGAGAAAATATCTCCCCGATTTCAAGTTCACTCCGATTCAACAAGGTTAGCTATCATACTGCTGTAGGGAGCTAACAATATGCCATGTTTTTCGCTCTCTCCTCCCTCCCTCCCTCCTCCCCCTTCTCCCAGCTATAGATGAAACTGTTCAGTGGTTTTGTGAGAACTACGACACAGCAAGAAAATGACTCTCAAGAACACAAATCCTCCGATTCGTTCCTTTTCTTCGCCAAATGTCTCTATCATTCTAAATTTTGTTGGGATAAAATTGATACCTGTTCTATAAATGCCACATAATAATACAGTAGAAACGATGAGAACTGACACGCAAACAACAAAAGTGTTTATCAAATTTGGAACCGGGCTTGTGATGTGATAAATATAACTGATCACGGTGTGGCAATTGTGGTTAATTGAATCTGATTGTGGTTGGGTCCTTGCGGTCTCGTTCTGCTATGTGTCGGAGAACGTCCTTCTTGGTTATGATGCCCAGGAGCCGCCTACGCAGTGTGTGTGTGCGTGTGAGGGAACGGTACATACCAGGGTTAAATTTAGTGTGTGGTGCGTGTGAGGGAACGGTATATACCAGGGTTAAATTTAGTGTGTGTGTGTGTGAGGGAACGGTATATACCAGGGTTAAATTTAGTGTGTGTGTGTGAGGGAACGGTATATACCAGGGTTAAATTTAGTGTGTGTGTGTGAGGGAACGGTATATACCAGGGTTAAATTTAGTGTGTGTGTGTGAGGGAACGGTATATACCAGGGTTAAATTTAGTGTGTGTGTGTGTGAGGGAACGGTATATACCAGGGTTAAATTTAGTGTGTGTGTGTGTGAGGGAACGGTACATACCAGGGTTAAATTTAGAAATAGAACTAAACAAGGAACCCGGTGCAATTACATGATTGTACATTTCCATTTTCAGTAACAGTTTTTAAATTTAGCCCATATACACTGCCACATGATTCCCTTTAATTAAAGGGTCAGATTTGATCGAGGAGGACCTCCTGCACTCACCCGTTGTGTGAGACTAGGACCTGTCGCAGTCCCATCTTTCTGAACATCTCCACAACTGTCTCCATGGGGGTCTGGTCGGAGATCTGGAAGGGGGAGGGGTCCATGAGGCCGCGGAAGTTGACGGAGGGAACGGTGCTCTCGAGCAGCTGCTGGTTGACTCTGCGGGTGGAGTCGATGAAGAAGACTCTGGACTCGCGTGTGGTGCCTTCTCTTCTGTGGGTCACCTGGTCTGGAGAGAGGAGGAGAAGATGGAGGGTGAAATGATTGCGGTGTGCAGCTTGTGGAAGATCACTGGACATGCTCTCGTGCAGGATTGCATAGTGTGCACCACTGGCCAATGAGATCATCTAGTGACATTCACTATTATACGGTACATATAAGAGTACAAGGTGCACTACAAACTACTTACATTCTTGCCTGAAACAGGCAAAAACCTCTCACCACTATATAGGGCTGTAGGCTCACCGAGAACGAAGGTGATATCTTTCCTGGTGAGGAACCCGGCGAGGAGCTGGGAGGTGGAGTCAAGAACACAGGGAAATCCGAAATAGTCTGTCTCGCTGACGAGATCCTGCAGAACCCCCACCGCTACTGTGGACAGGTCCACGATTGAGAGTGGGGCGTCGTTTCTTCGTGGTCTCATGACGTCGCAGGCCAACGTGTTGTGGGTGAACTCTCGTTTGCTGTCCAGAAATGGGTAGCCATAGAGATGAATGTGTCCGTCGTAGCTGGAGAGGTCAGTAGGTCAAGGAACTAACACAGATGAAAGAACAGAGCACGCTTAAGACTCAGTGAATAAAATTGACTAAAGAAAGCAGTTTTTTTTTCAAGGCACCTTCAAACCGCAAAAATATTTTTACAGCTACTTCAAATTTTCAATGTGAGAAAATTTTTTCCCTCTGAATTTTTTATTAATGAATGAGGATACATTCCATCGCTGATGATTGCGTCACCGACCCATTTGGATATCATCACAGCGATCATGATGGGAACAATGTACGTCAGTCCGCCAGTGAGTTCAAACATTATGACCACCAGGGAGACTGAGAGAAGAGAGAGAGAGGGAGGAAGAAGAGTGAAGTGACAAGGAATACAAAACAGATAAAGGCTTGCTGCAGTCTTCTCACACCTCATCACACAACGAGGACAAAAGGAAAGACATTGCTCCTCCCTCTCATGTTCTCACCAGTCATCCTGGTGACTCCACCGAGGGTGGCGGCAGCACCGATCATGGCGTACAGTCCCGGAGTCACACAGGACTCGTTGGGAGAACAGAACAACTGGAAGAATTCACTGTCTCTGAATGTACTGCAGAACATGGATGCAAGAGGGTTAAGTGGGAGCAAAAAATGTTACTAAAAACAAAAGGCTGTTTTGTTCCAGCTTTAACATTTCTAAATTTAGTCCTCGCCCACTGACACATTCCCTTCAAGAGCGCATGTAGTCGGGAGTTTTGCGACAATAGTATGTAAAAGTGCAGTAAAAGTTCATTAGTTACAGTGAAACTCACAAGGCGAACTGCTCCATGCACACACCTAGTATCCGGCCCATACATGCCCCAACAAACATGGACGGAATGAACAATCCAGCCGGCACCTAGGAGAGAGATGACATCATTCATTCCCTTACTTTTAGTGGAATACTTTTAAGTGAGAAAATGTTCATGATGTTTGGCAGCAAAAAAGAATAATTTTTATGTTACAGCCCAAAACATTCTAAGACGGCTCTCAAACAGCGAAAGTTATCAAATTTCGCACCATGCAGTAGTTAGTACCTTGATCCCGAAAGTGAAAATGCAGAGGACGGCCTTGGCGAGCATGGCGAGTCCAACTTGCCACATGGCTCTCCACACTCCCTCCAGGGCCCTCGTGTCGTGGTATGGTGGAGAGGGTTGACCGCCGACGTGTTGTAATGGCTGGTCGCAGGCGAGAGACGGAAATAAAGACAATTCAGTAAACTTCCATAATACAAGTCACATTTATTGCCTACTAAAAGTACGGCAACTTTAGGCCACCCTACTATATGGGACGTTTGCACTGCACTCTCCAACTATAGACAAGTTATTTAGGATGATCAGTTGGCTTTTATCCCACTTGCTTACTAAAACTTTAGGCCACCCTATTTCTAACTGTATTCACGATGGTCAGTTGGTGAACAGAGGAGGGGGAAGGAAATACCAGAGATCGTTGTTGTCCTCCGGTCCACACTGTGAGAAGAGTGTTCTGATGATTTCACTGGCGTTGGTTCTGGTATAGGGGTTTGGGAACGCGATGATACCTGTCAGTAGTGCCACCAGCAATACCTGCATGTGGGGAGAGAGAGACACGGGCACACAATATGTACGTATGTCACATTGACACGTCGTGTTGTGTCGTGTAGTGTACTGCTGTAATGATAGAAATGGGACGCGGCGTGCAGCACCACACTACAGGTCAGTGCAACATATTGTGATCTAGTTCAGGTAAATGCAAAGTTCAGAAAAGAGAGAGAGAGAAGTACAGTTGTAGCGGATGCAGAAGAAGGAGGGGCAGGGGAAGAAAAGAAGGAAGGAGAGAGTGAGAAAGGACTCACCTCAAAGAGAGGGATGGGGAAACGGTTGAACTTCCTTCTCTTGAATTTGACCCACAGGAGGTTCAGTTTGATGAACATTGCACCGTACAGCCCCTGTAGAGATCACAATACAACCATTGTGGATTTCAGCAGTGAACCAGCTCTGTTTACTCGTAATTTTTTGACCCCAACTAAAAAACAGCCCCCTGGTATAAAACATGAAATATTCTCCACGCTCACGCCAAAGATGCCGAGGAGGATGAAAGGGATGAACTCAAAGAGATGCCACTGATGGTCGTAGTTGGCGTAGAACAAGACGAGGTGGCCGGAGAAGTAAGGATTCATCAGCTGGAGGGTGAACGCTGCAGTCAGAGCCGCAAAGAACGCTCTCCACATGACTTTGTGAGGGAAATAGTAGGAGATCTGTGGACACAAAGGGAAATGGGGGAAACAGCAAATGCAATATCTCAAGCAAGTTGTTTATAATATGGATCTTGGCCGCTAAAGTTTTGAAGGCAGATTATAAAAACCAGTTTAAAATCTCCATGCTACAACATGTGTCATAGAGTGGACTCTCCTGTACATACATACCTCCTCCAGACTGAAGAGGACTCCTCCGACAGGGGCTCCGAAGGCTACAGAGACTCCAGCAGCTGCCGCCGCCGACAGCACCTCTCTCTTCTTAGCCTCGTTGTTGTAATACTTGGGAAACAGTCTTGTTTATGACAGAAAGGGAGGTGTGGGGGGGAGGGGGTTAAACAAAGAGAGGGAGGTGGGGGGGAGGGGGTTAAACAAAGAGTGGGAGGGAGAAGGGGAGGGGGTTGGGGAGACCCAAGACAAGAGGGAAAGGGAAAAGAGAAGGCAAAAGTGAGCAGTGGAGGTGAGAAAAGGAACAACAAGAGAGAGGGAAAGGGAGTGGAGTCAGACAACAGGGGACAGTGATAATGCAGTACAGCCCCTCTAAAGGGTACATTAGGGCCGACTCATCGCAGCTATGAATGCCGAAACAACTATGACAAATGGAAACATTTATGCTTCAATTGGACTCAACACAACACTTGGTGCTACGCTTTGAGCCTTGTGTCTGATGTACATATGTACATATATACCTTGTAAAGAGGTTGCCACAGCAACAGGCCACGTGGACGAGCGGCCCCTCCTTCCCGAGAGTTAGCCCCGCCCCCACAGCGAGGACCATTCCTAGACTCTTGACGAGAAGGGTCCAGGCTCCTAGATAGCCTCTAATGATGAACCCACTGAGAATGGTCTTCACCTGGGAGCAAATACAACTTGTACTACATATCACTCACGAGTGAGGCTTTTGGGAAAACGAAAGGCATTCCGAGGTGTCCCTTACTCAGAGGTAATAGTATGGGAGAGAACCAGTGTCCCTTATAGAGAGGTGTCCTTTATTAAGAGGTCTCTTTGAAGAGGTTCTAGTGCACCAGGAGCTCGTCCAAAAGTCTCTCTCTCTCTGTTTATACCTCAGGGATCCCGGAGCCGGCAGCATAAGGAGCTAGAGTAGTGACAAAGAGCCCAGCCAGACCGGCAAACACCACAGCAGCAGAGACATATATGATATAGTCAACAACGTACTCGTTCACATCGCCGCTTACGCCTGCATAGGCACCCCATCTGCGGAGAAGAGAGAGAAAGAGGGGAGATGAAAGTTGATGTATATACATAACAGTAGATTGTGGCAAACAGAGTGTATGGGGCAAACCAGTGTCATTCCTAGAGATGTGTCCAGGGTCATCTTTGGGGATTTCGGGAAACAGCTTGAGAAATACTCGGCTATAATACTTAAAATGGGAAAAGCCAGGGAGTACTCAGTGCTTGGTGCAGTTGACCTCCAGTCACTGTGCCTCAGTTTGACTCCTCAGGAAGTCGTTTCTCTGTCTAGCCTGTACCCTGATCACCCTTGTATTCTTCATTAAAGGACCGAATGTGGTTCTACAAGTAAGGGCTAAATTATGTAGCCATGGGGCTCAGTGCAAGAATTAAGTTTCCGTTTTTAGCTCCTAGTTTCCTTTAGAGAGAGAGAGAGAGAGAGATGGGAGAACGGTGCGATGGTCTTACGTGTGCCAGAGACTGCAGTGTTCCTCGATCATGTTCAGGTTGGTTTCGTTATTGATCCAACAGCAGGACTCTCTGTTGTAGTAGCCGGCAGACGGACACCAGCCCTCCTTCAGATCCGACATCCACTCCGTAGCCACGTCTATCATACCTGCAGCCAGCCACAGTAGACATTTTCGTACCTCCTAATTTTGACTGATTCTTCAAATTTTTTTTGCATTGACTGTTCAACTACATCTGAATTAGGGGTAACTGCTGGACGTGACCATTATTCAGAAGGTCTCCCTTATTTGAAGGCAGGCGTATAATTCACTAAATAAAAGTGTTATTTCTAGGGAAGTGTCCTTTATTCAGAGGGTTTGGAGGTTCCACTCTGTACAAATTTATAGCCCATTCATTGGCTTCCATAATTTCGTGTTTCCCACATTACCCACACTAAAGCTACAGAGAGAGAGAGAAGGGGGCAGAGAGAGAGAGAGAGAGAGAGAGAGAGATGTGTGTACCAGCCAACAGTCCACTGCTGACTCCTACTAGGAAGACGATGAGCCATCCCGAGCCTGCGTCCCACATCTTCAAGGTGCATCCTCGCCAGCTGAGTCTCCCGTCACGGTTCAGTCGCTTGTGGCGAAGTCTGTCGCGATTCCTGTCCCTCACCCAGTCTATGGTGTGGAAATCATCATAGTATCTGGAGAGAGAGTGTGTGTGTGAGTGTGGGGTGAGTAAATTCACTAAGTTAGTGTCACTGAAAGCCATTTACACAACATACTCTCAAGCATATGATATTATAGCAGAGTCAGTAATGCTAACACCCCTATTACTTGTACATGAACGTTTTCTCTCTCTTCTGCTCCAAAAGTGACTTACTTCTTTTCATTGACTCGAGGGCTGTACTCAATGTCACGAATGTCTCGCGGACCAATCGGTTCTCTGACGCTGCCTTCGAAATGGACAATTGGTTGCCTTGACGACGTGGCTCTGTTGAGGGAGCTGGCATGAGGGTCGGACCCTCCACTTACTGTCAGCATATCAACATCACTGTCATCTGATGAGGAGGAGAAAGAGAGTTTACGCTAATCTTGCCAAATGGTATTTGAGGGTGACAGGAAATGCTATAAGAGAGACTGATACAGGATGGCTGACTACCTTCACTCTCTCTCCTCTCTCTCTTCTGGTGCCGTGGTTCAAGCTGGTTGTAGTTGTACCCCGACCCCCACATCACTCCCACTGCTCCTTGCCACCGTTTCATCACTTCTCTCTCTCTCTTCACAAACTAAACCTTTACCTCTTCTCCTGGCTTACACTTTCAGACCGACATACTACTGTATTTTGTCAGACTAGGCTACTCGACAGACCTTCTCTAACACATCTGAACGGAACCGTTGACTATGAGTCGATAATGCGCTTCGTTTGAGCTATTGAGGCAGTCTATGTGCCGCTCATGTCGCTATTCAAGGTGCGTACACGTCGCCTATTGTCAAGAGTTGTCAGCGTGCATTGACGCTGTAGCTCACACGACAAGAGGCTAACTGAGCCGCTCAACGCCCACACACACGTCCACACGCTCTCCCTCTCGCTCTCACGTTTTTACACTCACCTAGGTTGACTGTCTTCTGCTCGAATGGGGTGTCTGCGTTGATAGTTCCGTTTCTCTGACGTCGCGAGGCCGTGGTTCTACCTACGGAGCCGTAGGTAGGACTGAGTGGAGGTTCTTCGTCACTGCTGTAGTCCTCCATCAGCTTTGTTGTTCTGATCATTCTCTACAACTGGAGAGGAAGAGCAAAATGAGGGTGCAAAGGTCAGCTTGGTAAACATGGTCACGTGATATATTGCGCACGCGCCATAAAATAACCAGCCCCACCCCCCCACCCGGCCAAACACACCCAAAGAGGTAGAGCCCCGCCCCATCCGCGATCGCGACATGGGGAAGCCGAGTAGACTATTACTGGTGTTTCTGTCACTGACCGTGATACCTAATGCCGTCTTGGTAATTCTCAAGACAAGCAATCCCCAGAATATTCCACGCGCCCTTTCCAATGTCGTCGAAGCCGGCTGCGACTGCCGCGGCTCGCGAGTTTTCGCAGAAGCCCAAGAGTTAGCTGCTGCTCCCCGTCCGACCGTGAACTACAGCCAGGTAGCCTCGGAGACTCCCCGCAGAGCGAACAAGACGAAGTACTCGAGACTCGGGACCCAACTGCAGTTGGACTACGCCAAGATGTGCCCCCGCGGCTCCCTCATGCTTGGCCAACGCAGCCAGTTCGTCCCTAACCACCTCGACTGCCCTTCCCTCTTCATCGTCGGAGCGAGAAAAGCCGGGACATCGTCTCTCTACATGTACGTCTCCAGACACCCTTCGTTCAAGGGAATTCTTTTAGACAGGGGTCCAAAGGTGGGCGAAACCTACTACTTTTCCTCCCACTGGAAGAGCTGGAAATGGAGCCAGTATATGAAGCTGTTTGAGCACACCAGCCACTATACGACCGGAGAGTCAAGTGTGGGGTATCTGACCAGCTGTAATGTACCAGAGAGACTGTGGAGGTCGTGCGGAAAACAGGCAAAGATTGTGATTCTCCTTCGAGACCCGATCAAGAGGTTGGAGTCAAACTACCGCATGCGGATCCGGCTACAGTTGAGGGGCTATAGCAACAACACCAAGGCATCGACCATGGTCAATCTTGAGTTGGAGAGATTTATCAACGCTGCCCTCAAGAATGGAGCAGACATACAAAGCGTTGAGCACTCCTGGGAGAAATTTCGCTGCCTCTTCAACCCCTCTAGCAATATGGTCTTTGAAGGGCTCTACTACGTCCATATCATGAACTGGTTGTGCAACTTTCCTCCTGAAAACATTCTCATCCTAAACAGTGAGGAGTTTTTCCACAACACGCGGGGAGTCTTTGAGGAAGTGATTGAATTCCTCGGACTTCCCCCTCTGGATCGCAACACAACCGCATTCATCACCTCAACTTCCTACAACACAGGACGGGGAGGCCAGGGACCAAGGCAGCAATTGAGTGAAATGGACAGGAAGAAACTCAGAGTGCTCTACAAGCACACAAACCAACCTCTTCTCAACCTATTGGACTGGGAAGGTTTTGTCTGGAGCTAATAAAAAAGATTTTTTAATAGTTGCCCTCTCAACACACGTCAGGTACTGCAATTCACAAGTCTTTCAGAAACCCTTCAGAGGTAATATTATTTACATTGACTGAATTCTTCTTGCATTCCCAAGCAGGTCACCAGTTATTCATAGGATACTTTATAGCTATACCATCTGGCACTATATTATACCCAGTTCACATTTCTTGGTTCATCATCATAATATCTCACGCTCATCCCGATTTTTCATTTTATATCATCTGGCACAAATTCATTTTTTTAACTGATTTTTCAACACAAATGGCAATCAAACGTGGTATATGTGCTATAAGAACGTTGTCTGATGGTGGTCACAGTCAGTTTGAGTCTGTATGTGATTAGATGTGGGTGTGAAATCTTGCAAAGACACCAAACCTTCGTTGGATCCATTACTGAGTGGAGAAGAGAGAATGTCCACGCTTTGTCTACGAATGTTAGTGGAGTGAAGAGATAAGTTCTCGTGGTAAGGATTGACAGTTTTCCAGCAACAAAACATGTGTTTGAGGCACTGCCGGAAATCCCTGTCTCTCATTATGACTAGCGGATCAAGTGCTGTGGAGGAGAGAAACACTAGCTGAATGATAAAGTGTATGTAGATAGGTATCTGGCACCACGCCTCAACGTTCGCACTGCGGACAATCTGTGAGACATATGCAGGGAGGGAGGTCACGACGAATGTAACGAGGATTAGGATGAGGGTGAGGTAGCTGTGAATGTCACGAGACCACTTGTCGGGATGACTGGAAAGAAGAGTGTGATTTGTGATGAGTCCAGTGGCTGGCTGGAGAGCCATCTTCCCTAGAACCACTGCTGTTGGTCTGAGAGACCTGGCTCTGCGATACAGCCACACGTAGAGTACAGTGGGAATTACTACACCTATGACGAAAGACGAGGAGACGACAATGCCGTAGTACAGGCGGCAGGCGGAGGTCTCGCAGCCGTACAGACAGGTGGGGATGTTGGGTCTGAACTCCTCCCGTGACAGGCCTGATATGACGGGGAAAACCGCCAGCAGGAACGGCAGTATCAAGGCCGTAACCGTCAGCACCACCAACAAGAACTTGCTGTACTTGGCGTAGGAAAAGGGGAAGCGAACGTTGCTGAACCGGTCGATGCACACGACTGCGAGAACCAGCCAGCGAGTCAACAGAAACTGTACGGAGAGTAGGCCGAAAGCCGAGCAGCCCAATTCCCCAAACACCCAACCCGAGGCCGAGGCGGACACGAGAGCTGGTGCGTGGTAGCAGAGACACCAGAGAACGTCGACGCAGGTGAGACTCAGCTTGGCAACCACGGAGCGGCTCCGCAGGACCTTGAACTTGGCCACCAGGAGCAGAATGAGCCCGTTTCCCGCCAAAGTCGCGGCAATTACCACAGAGACGAGCAAAGCGTGGACGGCAAGGGCAGCTCTTGGTACCTCCTGTAGGTCATAACACGAGTCGTTGCTCCAGTTGTCACTGTCCATACTGCCTAGATCCTTCTCTGCGTCTCCTCCCGCTAGCTCCCATCTCTACACTCGACACTTCTCCAGCCCTCCGTCAGCATTTCTATGAATTTATGGGCTATTATAGCTAACGCGCTAAGTGGGCGGATCTGGTACCAAACTCGTGATCAGCTGCTGGCGGAATCATCACGGGGCAAAAAGAAATCGTCTTCGGTGGCTAAGTGTCTCTTTACCTCTAGGCCTCCCTCAGGCTCTGCAAAATGTATTAGACCGTGATTCACAGCTAAAAATCAGCCTATGCAAGACCTTCATCCACAGCAGCTTTGCAAATTCTCTTTCTTCTTTTACCCAATGCCTTCACTTGCTTCACACTCTCTTTCTTCTTATCCCCAGAAGCATCACTTCCCACTGCCACTCTCTGTGTCACTGCAACACAATAACAACTCACACTCTACCCTATAGCACTACATCCCATGGTTTCAAACATAAATAATATCTGCAAGTTTAAAAACATCCTATAGCTAGATATCCTCCTATATAACCTGCTGGGAGTGAGGAATGAACTGGCTCTTTTCCGGAAGGTTGGCCAGAGAGCTGTGCTATCAGATCAGGTGGGAGGAAAGATGAGGAGGCATCAGTTAGCTCTCCACTTGCCACCATCTCTGCCACCTGACCCAGGAGGTGATCTGACCAAACAAATTGAAACCAGCATTCAAACAATACTGGAATACTGAACACGTGGCATTTTTACAATAAGACACTCCTACATCGAAAACTGACCCTTCCTTTCCAGGGCTTGTCTGTCTGTGCTCTCTGTACTGGGATAGAGAGCCAGATACTTCTCAGTTGCTGGATAATGCTGAGAAAAAGAGAGATGCACATCCTACTGTGCACAGGGGATTTTTTATATCTGCCCACCACAATGTAGTTGAGTTCGTTTCGGAGCTGCTTCAGTGACAGCAGCAATTCTCTTCTGCAGATTGTAGAAACGTAGCGATAGTGTGCTTCTAAACCTCCACTCACCGTTTGGTGTGGTCAGTAGTACCGTTCCACTCTCGCTGAAGGACTTTCAGTCGCCTCATAACTTTTCTCTTGTCTGCATTCCAAATGAAAAATTTCTCACGCAAACTCGCACTGATCCCAGGGCGACAGGAATGCGCGTGGGGCCCGTAAAGTGCACGTTTCGCTAATGAATTAACTTGTAACAAATAACCGAAGACAGAATACCAGCTCCGCCCACTCGCACGTCTCGAGGCATGCACTGACATATCGCCGCGGGGACACCTTACCGAAGAATTTCACCATCCGGTACTTCTTGTTCATCTTCTTGTCCCGGACCACCTGCTGTTGCTCCTGCAGCTCGGTGGCCAGGCATTTCAGTACTCTCTCCTTACTCAGTCGAACCGTCTCCGGCAGGTCCTCCTGTGATTCAGACGACAGAGTCCTGGACGGCACAGTGGCGAATGCTATCTACCTTACTGAGAAGGCGTTTCGTGTCGCGTATCCTCTGCTTCACTGATCGACGCTTTTCTCCCTTCTCCGCCATGTCACTGACACCCCACGTGTCACGCTAGGTACGTGTGAACTCTCTCCGACACCGCCCCCCGCGCTTCTAAACTGACGTCATTGCACGAGAAATCACATTACGTAACGTTAGGTGGACCACTATTATCAGTTCTATTTCTTGGTTCCCTTCTTGGTGGCAGCCTTCTCCTGCTTGGCCTCCTTCAGCTTTCCCTTGAGGGCCGTGTTTCTCATGGCCTGGAGTATGGCGTGGCGACGGAAGGTCTTCATGTAGGGGTTGAGTCGGAGCATCACATTCAGGTTCTTCAGAGGATTCTTCTTCTGTGATCTCCTCGCAGCATTCGGCCTGTAGATAGCAACAATACTCTGTGATGACTGGCCACTAATGGCACTGGAACTGGGGTGTACAGAGCATTAGAAAAACAGCACAGAGATGGATAAAAAAACTGAGTGTCTGGCTGTTCCCAATACATTATATGGGGAAACGTTTGCAATGGAATGAATGGATGTTTTCTCTAAAAGTATCGCAACAAATTGTGTTTTTGTTGCAGCTTACTTCACTGGTCGTACAACTTCTGGATTTCGTCAGAATTGATCAGCCTCGAGAGATCCGTCTGAATCATCTTCGGTCGAGGCAGGCTAAAAAAAATGAAAATCCTCACATGACACACTCGGGGAACATTTTCACACAAAGTTGCTCACTTGTAGTTTTTCTTCTCGGTGGATTTCTTCCTCCACGTCCCGTAGAGGGCGTCCAGTTTAGAGAAGGCGGACTTGGTCCAGATGCAGAAACGGCCGAGGTGTCCTCCGGGCGCCAGCTGGAGGAGATTTAGTCGATCCACATGCAGCATCTCCACCCCCGGCAGGTTCCTGAAGGCCCGCGTCAACCCGTGATCCTCGTTGTAGATGATCAGCGGGCCCTTTTTCTGGACGTAGCGACGGTTTCGCATCTTTCCTTTCCCGGCACGAATCTTCCGACTGTCTTTGCTCTTTTCCACGTCAGCGTAGGCGCGAATAGCCTTCATGATACGAACCGCGTCCTTCGTCTTGGAGACATCCTGGACAGAGTCCGATACTACAAGAGGGACCTCGGCAATTTGGTCGATGCGGTGACCTCGAGCCATGACCAGCGCTGGTAGCCCAGTGGCTGCCAGTGCAGAGCACATGGCGTAGCGACGCTGGTTCTGGTTGATCCTTCGGTGCCAGCGACGCCAGGTCTTAGTGGGAGCAAACATACGACCACCAGCACACATCTAATATAACCCCATGTCAAGGATGCAAAAACTGAATCGCAGAGAATGAGGTGCAATTATGTTGAGGATACATTTCCAAAGGCAGCCTGGCCAGAGCGGTGAGTGCCTCCTCCGCGCACGCGGGGAATACGGGCAACGGCGCGGCCCGGTACCCCAGGACTCGGCGCTGGTCTGGTGGCCGGCGTGGGGAGACACGGCGTACGGCTGGCGGCGGTTCTTACTCATGTTGGTGTGCACGAACTGGACCACATCGGAGCGGATGGGGACCTTGAACACGGCCGGGAGACTCACGCTCTCCGAGCTTTCCTTCCCCTCGTCCGTGTACACGTCACCAGCGGCCTGGCAGACTAGATAGATCGTGGAGAAAACGAGCAATAAATCGTGGACTGAGAGTTCAACTGACCATGTTTGACTTGTCTTTTCCCCTTCTACAAGGCTGATCTTCGAGGATTTTCTCCTTCCCTACACACGCGACTTCTCCACCCGCGAGATCGAAAAGCAAGAAGTACGCATGCGCAATGTATAACCCCGTTCGCACTGTTTTTTTAGGAGAGAAAGATGGGCGTTCTAACAAATGCACCGCTTGGCTTCAGTAGCGCCGTGTCTACCCTCAACTCCCTACCACAGGGCATTCTAGCCGAAATGGTGAGTACCCAGATCACGATGCTAACGGCTGGGATTCTTTAACTCCCGTGTTTTGTAGTGCCAAGACGCCATGGCTTTCCTCCAGTCAGATGTGGCCTATCTACCCTCGGAGCATCACCAAATGGTCCGCTAGCACAGTCAAATCCTTCCCCAAGTCCAGCTCTATTCTATATCTCTACCTACAGGCTCTGTCGGGACTTGACATTAGCCCTAAACCGGATGCTGGGAACTGCCTCAATGCTCTCACGTTTCTCTTCAAGTAAGGAAAAATAGAGTCATAATGTGGAGTGAAGCAGCAGAGCATTCCATATGAGTATGAAACACTAGACCTTTTGATATATAAGTCCGCATCAGCTACAGAGTCGAGCCATGAATGAGAAATGAGAAAGCTAGAGAGCCAGAAATTAACCCTGCAGGTCTGCAGCGAGTGAGGGAGCCAGTGTGGAGAGTCTGGTATCGGAGCTAAAGTCCTCAATGATGTGGTCTGACAGTTGCGTGGCTGTTGTCAGACACATCTGGAAGGAGGAGGGGCCTGCCCTGTGTGGCAAACCCAAGGAGACTCTGCTGGTTGGCCAGGTCTGCAACGGCGATTCTTTACCACCAAACTCATGTTTTTTTCATAATGCAATGGGGATATGAGTATATTGGTTACGTGTTGCACAATAAAATGATTGGTGCGGACGAGTCAATAGATATGTCCGTTGATTACACAAGCACTGTTTCTGTTTACAGTTATTGTCAATGGACTGGCAGCTGGGAATGGCCATGAGCTCCTCCTCCTGTCGCTCCCTCAACTCTCCTTACCTCACTCTCCAGTTCAACCTGGCCGACCCATCTGGTGCCCTCAGAAAAAAGACTCTGCAGATGACTGTGGCAGAGTTCCAGGTCTGTTCTCTGTGTGCATCTGGTAATGATTTTTAGATGAGTTTGTTTCTCCATAGAATCTTGCTGGCCAGTTGAAGGACATGGCTAGTGCATTGGAAACTGCAGCATAGTCTCTAGCAGTCATTGCGTGTGTTTTGTTCGGACCAACGTTGATGTATTTGCGCATGCGCTCACGCGATAATTTAGGGGGCGTGAACGCGCTCGTGTCGGTCTCGTTCGTTGGTACGTGGTGGAGTGGAAGAGATGAACTTTTTGTGGAGCATTCTGTGGATTATTCTACTGCTATTCTTTATCTGGTGAGGTTGACTAGCTATACAACACTGTAACTACTTGTTCTCTGTCCTCGTTGTGTGTAAGTATGTAATGTTGTGTCGCGACCGTATAGAGTTCTCTACAGATTTGTTCCACGAATCGTTTTGTATTAGGCTAGACTGCTGCAATGGCTCCGTAGCTGCATCACATGACCGTCCATATTTAGCATTGCTTTGTAGTCACTCACTCTCCTAAGTGTCATTCTTTTGTTCAATCTTCTAGACACCACGTCTAGCTAGCTGACTAGGTGGCAACACCAGTAAATCTATTCAATACAGATTTACAGTTTGCACACTACATACGCAGCCCATTCCCTCTCTCTATAGGTGGCTATCAGGGACAGTAGCATGGATATACATTCACCTCCTCCCCTTCACTGCCTGCGTGCCTCCACTTGCAGCAGTGAATGAACTCTTGCTCAAAATCATTCAGTTCCCAGCTCAAGTAGGAGTCTATATCAGAGACGGGACTAGTGGCTGAGATTCCATAGGTCCATTCATAGCAGTGTCTCTTATAGTCCTTCACACAATATATACATGTTATGGACGCTGCGATGTATAATTATTTTTTTGAGCTGAAGTGATGTTTATTTGATATTACTCTGTTGATGATATTAACATAGGTCACATCAGACTGCTGTTATATGTACAGGTGGATGCCTGGACTGGCCTGCAGGGTTCTACATACTACTAGTTCCCCTGCAGCTGCATCCCTGCCATTAAACCACTAAACTGACTTCCTACTGAAGGTGGTCACCTTCCCCTATGAGTGGGCACCTACATCAGGACGGAAAGAAGGGCGCTAGCACTATATAGAACCAATAGAACTACACCAAATCAATTTTATGGCATTGTAACGTAAATATGATGTGGTGGATGAATAAATATATTTGAGAACCAGAGAGACAGAAAGAAGGGTTGCTAACACTATCAATTTTTGGCACATAAAAATGATGCAGGAATTACAATATTATAGAAACTAGTAATGTGTGCATTGCGAATGAAGCACCATGTAACCTTATGGAGAGGGAGAGTAGTGGAGTGGAGGAGATATGTTTTCTTTATCTGGGGTGCTGGTTCGAGAAGTGACCAGAGGCAGTCCAGGAGGAGAGGGGAGCTGGCTGACCCCACGAATGGAGGACACGGAACACGGGCACTGCCGCGCAGGATCTGTTGGGATGTAGACGAGGAGAGGACAGCGTCATGAGCGCAGGTGGTCTGAGCTTCCAACCACAATCGTGAGAAGAGGATACCTGCAGAACTGGTGAGAGTCAAGATTCCTGGATTAATCTTGTATATAGAGCTCATGCTGTCAGGCACAACACTCCAAACGTTCGCAATTTCTAGTCCAATATGTATGTTACACTACAAATATTTTTAGACAGGCTCTACAACGAGCTGAGCGATTTTTTACTTTTTCAATGCCCTGCATGATTATTCTGACCCAGAGCCCAGTGTTAGAGATGTGTGCGTGGAGCAAACATATGATGGCTATAATGTCGTGCTTGTAAGAGGACCCACCCCCCCCCCACCCCCAACCCCACCCACACACCCCACCCCAATGTTTTCACCCCCCCCCCCCACCCCAATCACCCCCCAAACCCCAATGCTGCCAGTAGTAGAAGTAGTAGTAGAAGATACATAACA